AAAATCGTTTTAAATATTTGTTTTTAGATTCATGATCGTTTGTTGACATACTTAAAATTTAACTTTGAAGATTTAAACTTAACACTCTTGATATGAGACTTTTTTAGTAAATAATGCCTTAAGTACACAAATAACTAAAATAATGTAATTCTATCAAACTACAATTTAATAAAAAAATATAAAATCTTTTATTACTTTTTTAAGTTATGAACTACAGTCATAACTTACCTACAAATATTTTTTTCCGAAACTTAAAGCTAGATACACCCATTACCCAATTAGTTCAGAAATTATATTTATAGTTCTCATTCTGGTATATTAAATAAATAGAAGACCACAAACATTGGCAAATGAAACAAAAATTGATAATATCCAGAGTATCTATGCCATAATACACCAACGATAAATGTATTTATTAAATATCAAAAAAAATGTATGATATATTAAAAGTCAGTTCCATTGAGCGCACGTGTATCAAAATGGACATAATTAATAATAATAATAAAAAAAAAAAAAAACTTAAGCTAGTTTAGTATTTTAAGTTGTCAATATTTGACAACGTTTGTTTAAACTATAATATAACTGTGATATCTACAAACTTAAATATTATATTACACTATACCTACTCTATTGGAGTTAGGACTAAAGATGATGACTTGGTGGTGACCAGTGTTTGTCGGGTAGTGGTCAGACAACACTTGTTTGTCACTCCTAACGAGTCAGCCATCTATAGGCCTGTCGTGTAATTAAGCCACGTCACTGTAAACAAATCTTTCGATGAGTTGTCTTTATAACTTTAAAGGATTATAGTATTATAGTACTTCATATAGTTTAAGCCTGACTCCCAGTGCCATTATAGTTGAGGCAAAGGCCAGGCCAAAATGGGTATAGTTGCCATTATCCATTTTCCAATTTATAAAATATGCATAACAGTTCATACACAATTTAAGCATTAGAAATGCCGTAGAGACATTGTATACGCGGTGATGGTAATAATACCACCTAACCTAAACACGAGATTAGGTTATTCTTAAACACGGTTATAAAATAAAATATTTAACATAAGACCCATAAACTTTACTCTACGACAATGAAATAAGTATCATAAACAACTAACAAGTTAATCATATTCCACCCGACTTAAAAAAATCTTACCATAGATATTACTTTGGCTAATAACTAATACATTTAAGCTACATTTTTTGATGATATAGCTTATAATCAACCTATAATTACAGTTGTTCATTACCTCCAAGAACATTTAGACATAAATAAATTGCGCCGATCGATATTCGATTGTAATACATTATTGTATGTCAATCGCGCTGATCGATTCCTAAGTATATATTATATTAATGTATGTAATACTATTGTCTATTACTATTAATTTTAGAACATACAAAATAAGTCATGTTGATCATTCGGTAAATTAGTAACATACAGATACGTTTGGTGATTTTAGATTTTATAATAATTACCAATCTGTTTTTTACGTGTTGGAATCTAAAGTTTTATCTAAAACTTTTAGTTATTAAAAATTGACACATAAGATATTTTAATTTAATACCATTTAGTACAATATAAGTTACAACAGTATATATCTCAATCATTTTTGTTACGCATTAACTTTGATATAAACGAATTATAAATTACATAAAAAAAAAAAAAAAACAGATAAATGATGGATATCTAAACTATATTATTAATATATTGTAAACTAAAATTATAAAAATTAAATTAACTTTTATAATATATAAGATAATCATTAATAATTGATACAGTAAATTTAGTAAATTTAATGGATAGGTACAAATAAAATTTTATTTTTAATTTATTTGGAAATTATTAACAACATAAAACATTTTGGTTTGACTAATGGTTTAAAATTAAGTTGAAATAGACATTTAAAGATTGAACATAGAAATTATAAGTCAACTTCAATATTTTTTATAACGGTTTTGGACTTTAATCCTAGAAAAAAAACTCTATCGATGAGGTAAATAATTTTAAATATTAATACGAATTTTATAATTTTAATTGTGGTGATACATAGTACAGACAAATGCAACGATCAAAGTTTATATATTTCTATATAGACCTAAAGTATTATTATGGTATTATAATATTAATTTTTTTTTTTTTGTTTTTATGATATTAGTTGAAATTGATAATTGTTTGTGGAAATTATTAGTTTTGATTGAATCACCGTGTATATTTAGTAGCATCAAAATTCAAAGGGCTGTCGCTCCAGGTTACCTATAGTTGTTTATTGAACATTCCATTTTAGTTCTACATAATATTATATACCAATCTATGTCATAGTATGTGGTAAATGTGATACTGTAAATATAACCAAGTATATTATAGTAAGTCCTCGTTTAACATCGTCTCGTTTAGAGTTGTTTAGCTATTGCGTCGTAGAAGTTATAGTCCTTGTGTTTCATTTAACACTGAAAGGGTTTTAATATAACGTCGTTTGTAATACACATATTTATACAATTTTTGTTATACGTATTTATACATGTTTTGTTTAAGTCGTTACAACAAGTAATTTAATTTTGTCGACTTTTTTTCAGATAATACTATTATGTTTTGATTGATATACCTATAATTTGCAAGTACTATTTTTATTGAGTTTAGGTAATATGTACTCCGTAATCGTTTTTTCATTTTTTAAGAAATAAATAGTAAATACGTACAAATGTAAACCTGTTTATAAGTTTTCGTAAATTTTTAATAAAATATGAAATTCAACTGTTAGCTTAACTGTTGTATGTAACTTAATACAAACAATTAAATCGTGAAACATTAAATATGTACATTGTTATTTATTGACAGAAACTCATTATAATAAAGTGTATGTAAAAAGTCTTTCAATTAACGTCATGTTTTTTAAAAATCTAACCTCAACGTTAAACGAGAACTAACTCTATTGTTTTAATGATTGAAACTACAACTAACTCTTCTAGTATAGGGACAATGATGCTAACATATCTCTCTTAGTGCTTATAACAAACAAAGTTAGGTAGATGCTTATTATCAGAGTGAAAATAATGTATAATATACGACGTTACATATCATATAATAATATATTGTCTCCATTTACAATGTATATGATACATACTGTGCTATTATAATATAACGTATGGTATTATAGTGTGCAATTATTTACAAATTACTGATGATAACAGAGTAATTTTCAACTAATGCAAAAATATATAAAAAAAAAAAAATTATAAACATTGAAAAGTACTCAATATTTTAAAAGGGTTGTCCCTGACCTTTATAATATAATATACGCTTATACTAGTTAAAAGTTTTTCGGAATAATTTTTTATTTTTTATTTAAACTTATCCCGGAACAGTAAAAGTTGTTACTATTTCTCTTTTGAGTGTAGTGGTAACTATATTTTTATGTTAAATTGATATCCAATGTTGCATCAATGATTTCTCAAATAAGTATACTTACAAATTACTTTTCTTTTGATTCAATATCTACAATACTTATTTATTTATTACAGTGATTCTCAACCTAGAGTATGCAACATTATCTCAAGGAGTACGTGAAAAAAATTGGCTAATGGCAAAAAATGTTGAATTTGTTTATTTAAAACTATTTGTTTCGAAAATATTCATTATATGTTATTAAAAATAAAAATGTATGTCACAAATTGAAACTTAATCGTCAACTTATCTAATATATATGGAGTATATAGAATATAAAATAGAATGTTTTTTTATTTTTTATTTAAATATTTTAAAAGTAGTTATTTGAAAAAGTTTAAAAATCATAATGAGGGGTACAATCTAGCAAATATTAAACTTAGAGGTACGGGACGAAAAAAAAAGGTTCGGCACCGCTGGTTTATTAAATGCATTTAAGAGTTTTTTTGTGATTATATCATTGCTTAAATTAAACAATGCTTTCAAGAATTTACTGCTTCGTTTGTATTATATACAATTTCATGTTCCAGTTTTGTAATATGTGTTTTCTGCGGAATGTGAGTAGTAATTATAGTAAATTGTTTTAATAATTATTGATTATACCGTTAACATTTTATACACTCATAAATTATGAGAATAATATTATTTATTTTAATTCAGTGTGAGTTGCTTTGTATTACTTTGTTAGTTTATTTGGACGGACGAGACACTTTACGGCCTAAATGAACCTTTCCTTTTTCGGCTAATTCACTTTTCGGCTATTCTGAAATGTCCGTTTTCGGCCAGTACACTATTTTGGTTACCAATGAAATATTTTCCACGATTTATTTTCTATTAAACTGTCAATTTACTAATTACAATCAAATAATATTATTAATTTACAATTTATACATTGAATTAAGTAAAAAAATATAAAAATAAAATTGAGGTTATCAATTTACACAATATATATAAAATTATAGGGATACTTAATTTTTTTATAATTATAGCATCTTCGTTTAATAAGTTTTATTCGTGTTATTCATCCTCTTTCATATTTTATCATATTGGTACCTATGGTTTTTATCCTGACGACTCCAAACTTTTTCATCTTTTAAGAATTTTGAAATATCCGCATTTCTTATTTTTACATATGACTCCGTTTGAATTTCATTAATTATTTTCAACCAATACATAATTGGATGGAAGTCTTTGTAAAAACATTGATTAAAATATAAGTGATAAGACTCGCATGCATTTGTGGTTCTAGTTAAGTCAGAACAGCCAGATGTCCAAATAGTAAGAGGAAATATACTATTTTCACTAATATAAGTGTCTGTTATTAATAAATTGGCAGTTTAACAGAAAAAAACGTAAAAAATATTTCATTGGTAACCAAAATAGTGTACTGGCCGAAAACAGACATTTTAGAATGGCCGAAAAGGGAAAGGTTCATTTTGACCGAAAACGGTGACGCCCCATTTGGACCTACAGTAATAAAAAAAATAATATTAGTTTTGATAAATATACAATATATTGATAATTATTAGTTTATAACCACATTTCATTTTTTGTTTTACATATTGATGTTTTTTATTTTTTTATTTTGGATTGATCAATCTTTATGTCATTTTTTTTGTTCGCAAGTGTTTTTGTTGTCATCATCTTCATAGATCTTCAGATCCTTTACATGATACCAAACGCCTATGTCCAGTATCGTACCGATCATCAGGAAACCTGCGGAAATCGCATGCAATAATTATATGTGTAATAAAATAAAAACCTAGAAATAAGTGTGATAAAAAATTTGTAACACATAACATTATTATAATATGTATACTTTTTCGTAATTCGCAATAATTATCAGGCATTAAATATCCTGAAAAAAAAAAAACTAAATTACACTAAAATCTCCTTGTATGATTTGATAATAATCGTAATTTACTACACAATCATAATTTGTCGTTACCATTATTGATGCAAGTCATAAATAAGATAACCCATAATAAATAATAAATTCATATACACGTATCTCGTTTATATACATTACACTGAGTTGAACGCGAAAGCCAAAAATTTAATTTGTTCAACCTTTGTACATAGATAAAATATAATATGTTATAAAAATAATTTAACAAATAAAAGTAAATATTATCTATTATTTTTTTTTTTTTTTTTTAGTTAAATATAAATATTTTATGGCAAATTGTTATTAGATTTTATCCGTTTTTAAACAATTTACAAACTTTGTACTCATAATATAAAAATGTTATAAAATTTCTGTGAAAAAATCAAAAATCAAATTTAATTTTTAAACTCTTTGATGTATAAAACGATTTTTTTTTTTTTTTGCTCGAAAAGATACGTTTTAAGGCATTCAGAATAAAAGACAATTTGCATTTAGATCTGTGCTCTAGTAATTATTAATGAGGAAAAACTGATCAAATAATTATCAGTTATCGATATACAAACAAAGCTTTGATCATTACTATACTTACTAGCTCCGGTTAAGTTCAAGTAGTACTTCAACCGAATGCCGTCGTATAACCAACAATTACCGTTGGTACCGCAGTCTCCACCCCACACCATGCAAGTAGAGTCTACGTAAAACATTTAAAACCAATGAGTTCAGTGTATTATATAAAATATAATTTTTTTCACGCATGATGTTAAGTTCACAATACGTATACTTGAACTTCGATGCTATAATTTACTTACCGACAATCGTGCCGTACAATATAGGACCAGGCATGAATGCAATTACACACATTACCAGTTCAGAGAAACCCAGCGATAGTGACTTATCCTCTTTTTTTACACACCTATATACAGAAAACATAGTATACATATAATATTAGGGCAGTGCATTAACAAGTTAAACATTTAAAATTAAATTAATTTTAAATAAGTTACATAAACAATTATTTAATTTGTATCTTCGAGATGAATTGTTTTCCGTGAAATGCAATTTATCATCAGATAATTTCATTTTTATAGTCACGATAAATTCATTTTTTAAGGATTTATATAAGATCATCATTGATTTAAAACATACATAATATATTGTTTCATATTAATTAATGTTCAAAATCAAAACAAAAATAATAAATAATCAGAAGTATTATTTATAATTTTATATATTATATTTTAAATTAAATTTTAAAATATAAAGATGTTGAATTTATTATGTACAATTTATAAATTTCAATACAATGTATACATAACTACAACTGTTTAATAAAGTTGTAAAATGGTCAAAGAATAAATAATAGCTAATAGGTATTTAATGTATAGTAATAAGTTATCATAAAAGTATAGATGTAATATTGTATATTAAGTTATATAATTAAAACTATGATGTATATATATATATATATATATATATATATATATATATATATATATATATATACACACACACACATATTCAACAGATAGTTATACTGCCAATAAAGAGTAATTATTAATATATTATACATTATTTTAACTAAAAAATTTCATTTTTGTACATATACTCTCATCATATTGCTTTATTAAAATTTAGCGTGAACTGAAAATATTAAGAAAAAAAAAACTAATTTTTAACAAATATATACTTAAAAAAATAAAAAATAAAAAAAAAAATAAAAGAACATTTTTAACGTTCTATTCAACTAATATATTTTTGTATATTAATTTAAAGAGTGTAACTAGAGAAATTAATATAACCAATGATGCATAATAATATAATATAACGAACGTTTCACAATAATAAATCATAGTAAAATTGACAAAAAAACAATAATAATAATAATCATACAAAATATATGATATGATATTTTCAAATAATTTTTAAATAAATCTTTCTACTGTTTAAAGAAAAATTAGTAGATTAAAATTGTATACATTGATAATGTATAGTTAAAACTTTTCAAACAGAATAAATGTATGTTAATGAACAAATATTCATATTCAGTATGATTTTATTTATTTAATTTAATATATTATTACCTAGTTTTTATTTTTTTTATAGCTTATCAAAATCATACTAGTTTCGATAACGAATTAATCAGTTTTTAATGTCATAAATTTAACATCCAACTACAAAATCTAAGTAAAAAATGGTTTTACGAAACCCAAATTAAGTTATGTTTTTCACATTTTTCTAAGTATGGTTTGTAAATCATAGAGTTCCTTAATATAACCGTTTATATCGGTTTCATTAAGTTATCTTTGTAAATAAAAAAATTAAAATGTTGATTATTAACCAATAGTATGCTAGATAGGTACGAATACCTATTCGTAAGTATTATTATTCATGGTAATTATTCACCTTGAAAGAAAATACACTAATTTAAAATGAATGCAACAGCTAATATTAAAATGTTTACTGTATATAAGTAAATATAAAATTCTACTAACATTTTTCATTTTGTTCCTTGCAATTTAACACTAGCATTATATTAGTTAAGTTTAGATTTTTTGGAAAATATTTGTATGCACTCATATTTGTACTTTAAACATAGCGAATTTAAAATGTAAAATACAATAATCATTATCGTCATTCTATAGTTGAAAATCAGTGACACATATTAAGTAAAACCAGCTGACATATTAGTGTATAGCGTTGTACATGACAATATAATAATATATCCTTTTACTAAGAAAACATACGTATTACATATTGTACTCTTACTTAAAATGTTTATAAAAAAATATCTACTTTCATTACACAAGGAGATAAAAATAAAGAACTAAGAATAAAACTGATATCAAATATTTTAACGGATCAACTAAAAGTGCCTAATTCTAATTAAGTACATTTTTGTTTAATACCGTATGATTTTTTAAAGAATTTTTATCTTATTAATTTATTTGTTCATAAACTTTGTTCACGCAAATATTATTTCAAACGTTTAGGCGGCCTATCTACACTTTTTTGCATATTTTCATCTTACAGTTATCGAATAAATAACACGTTTAAGTAGTGACTTTCATGCAACTTTTAGTTCAAGATGGTTCTAAAATAATTATTTTACATTTTTAGAGCTTATATACCTATAATAATATCATTGGTTATAGAATATATAATAATTAATATATATTAATATATAATCAATGATAATATCATACATGAATACATCTCGAAACCAATATTCGCTTTCAAAAACTAGTGCACCGTACAAACCTGAACTGAATTATGGTGTTGCCGGAACGACCGGTGGATGATAAAAATCGCATTATGCCCATCAAAACAAGAAATATGATGAAGTCATGACCGCAGTCGACTGGACACATTCCGGCAATGGCTGTGCCCAAGCCACCAATACACGTGCAGTTGCTGTAAGTCTAACAAGACACAACGAAAATTACGTACATATTATAAAAGATATTATTATGATATCAAATAAGAAAACGAAACATTTATTCACCTTAATTCCGTCGATAATTGTCTCCTTAGTACATCCCGCATAGCACGGCGAGTAAAATGTGGTTGATTGGTCAAACGAACAGACAGGATTATAACTCATCGATTTACCACAATTACAGTCAACATTACAGTCCATCGTCAAGTTCCATCTAATCGGATAACGGTAAATAGATATTATTACTATTGTGCTTATAATTATTCAGAATGAATCACTAAGCACATTCATTCACCCAAAATCAAATTACTATTAAATTTCCTAATCTATGAATGGTTCTTCTCTAGCGAAAATATCGTTAAAGAAAAATCTGGGTATTCTATAAATTAAGAACCAACCATTCTATTAATTGTTACGACTCCCTATACAAACTTCAAATAAACATTGTTATAATTTATATAAGTAAATGTATATTCTGCACCTTGAATTTACGTCTGCAAAGTATGTAAGTATGTAAGTAAATAAATAATAATATTTAATTTAATTTAAACAAATCGCATTTTGCTTTTTCCACTCACGAATGTTGAATACGTATCTCTGTATGAAAAATATTTTCGTTTAAAATTTATGAATGTGAAGTATCTATTTTGAAATTAATTAATTGCATCAACGCGCGTACCATCTAGGACCGTCATACAACAATAAATTCGACAAACAATCCTTATATGATTTCAAAACATATTTTTAATTATCAAGCAATTCTGGTATGAACACAGACTAAAAATAAAGTAAGCAAGTGAGTAACTCTTTGCTAAACATTAGGTGTTGAGTGGAACTCGTTATTGAGTAAATATCTGTAATTGATTTTGTTTAATTTAAATTCAATGATAATCCATATTCGCAAAGGTGGGCTATTAGCTAGTTTGTTTATTTTTTAGTCAACTTATGAAATTAAAGAGTTTAATTGACAGCTGAAATAATTTAACTTTTTGCAGTTGATATCAGAAATCTTTTTATCAAAATTATAAATTATTAATTGTATTATTTTAATATTATATGATCTTCAATTGCTATATTATATAAAAATTATAATATTTGTTAAATTATTAATTTGAGATGTGTATAGTTTAAAGGTATCAAAGGGTGTTTAAACTTTAAAATGTACATTATGATAAAAGTTCAATAAAGTTTTTTTTATAATTTAGTAAATTAGAAAGACATAATCACTTTTTATGTGATTTACATACTAATTAAAGAAAAATAGATTAACCTTTTTTTTTTTTTTTTAAACTGAGTTAAGTTAATATTATTTTCTATAATACATTTTAACTTATCCAGTTAAATTTATAATTTGTTAACAGTTTACTTCTAACTTATCGATCTTGAGTTTTTTTTAATTTGAGTTAATTATTTTTATTGCCCATCTTTGTCACATAATATACAATGTAAAACGATACTTACAAAAACTATCTAAATTTTAGTAACTATGGTTACCCTCTTGAGTGTTTTCTAAATTGAAATTTTTTTTAATTAGTTTTGGAATATAATAGTATATTAAATAATAATTTTGTTTTAAGATGTTTTGCAGCATATAACAAACCGTTATCAGTTATCACTTATTTTCATTTTCTCTTATTATTGCATATAGACCTTATACCTATCACAGCACGGTTAAAATATATTCATTATAAACGTGTTTACTTTTAACAGTTATATAATTGCTTATCACATTTTTTCTTGGATAACCGATAACAGAAGACAATCTATGTCAATAAAACTACTCCTCCGTTGCTATCGTTTATTGTAGTAAAAAATTCAATACATTATAATAATTAACCTACTGTTATCAAATAACAATTTTTTTTAATTTTATTATTTTAATTAAGCCATAAACAGTTGTCGACTATTAAAAAATTGTGTATTTCGTACTCGTATTTTGTACTTGATAATAATTATTAATGTTATTTTTATTATAAAACGTATAAATACATATTTAAAAAAAATAGAATCATTAAAATAAAATTCTAAACTTACTACTAATCATTTCAAACTTCTAATATAGAAACAATGACTGTAATTTATCATGGTATTTTTGATATTAACAAATATATTGGTAAACAATTTAATGATTCTGAAAAAAATTAAATACCTAAAAAAACATCAGGATTCCAGGTAAGACTTTTTCATTTCCTTTGACTGAGAATAACAAAAAACTATTAATATTTAAATGTAGCTGGCTAGAAAAATTAAATTGGCTTGCCTATAGAGAGTTAAAAGATGGCGCTTATTGAAAATATTTTACGCTTATTTTTCAATAAAATGGTGGTAAAGGTAATCAGCCACTTAGTCAGCTTTGTATAGAAGCTTTTAATAAATAGAAAACGTTGCAAAAAAATTTAGTTATCATGAAAAAGTGAGTTATCATTAAATTAGTTTTATAGATTTTCAATCAGTTTCTGCTATTATTATAGAAAAATCTGATTTAGTTTATCATGAACTAAATAAAACTGAAAAAACCCAAAAAAAGAAAATGTATTATTCCAGTAATTGATTTAGTACTTATAAGTGGCCGACAAGGCATCACATTTAAAGATTACAGTGACTCTGGAGTCCTTAAACTTAGAAATTCAATTATAATTAAGGTAATTTTCGGGCACTATTAAGATTTTTCCTTAAGGCAACTGCATTACCCAGCAATAAACGTTTTTTATTAGTAAGAGAAATTTGTAGTAGGTTAGGTTATGAAATTTGTTATGAAATTATTTTATCAAAAATTGTAAAAATAATTAATGAAAGTAACTTTTTTCAATAATAGCCGATAAAACAGCTAATATATTGGGTATTGAATAGTTTGCTCAGTGCGCTTGTTATTATGAAAGTAAAAAGAAAAATATTCGTAAAGATTTCTGAAAATTAATTCTGGCAGATTATGTAAGTGGTAAAAGTGTAACAAATCATTAATGAAATAAAAGTATTAAATATTGAAATAAATAATCTACGAGGTCAAGGTTATGATGGGGCATTAAGTATGATTGAACAATTTAATAGAGTAGCAGCTTTAACCAGAAAATATCATTCAAGAGCATTGTATATGCACTGTAGTGCACATAATCTTAATCTTTTTATCTAAAGTGCATCTATTATACAAGGAATAATGATTACTATGAATTAAATAGAAACATATTATAATTTTTTTAACACTCCGAAAATATAACAGCTTTTTCAACACATTTAGACAAATTAAAAAAAAAATGAATCTTCATCTAAAAAAGTTACTGCGTTATGGCTCAATTGAAATATTTTATAAATCTTTCCCTATAATTTTTTTTGTTTAGCAGAAATAATTATGTGAAGCAACAGTAATACATCGAGTAAAGACAATCAATTTCTATTTGCAATCAAGCATTGAGATTTAACGTAGTCCTTACTATTCTTAATTATGTTTTTCAGTATTCTCATTCGCTATGTAAATATTTACAAACCACAAATATTGATTTGGTTGACGTTATTGAACATACATTTTAGTGACTTTTATTAATGTCCATAAGAGTAAATGTTGGTCTTGAATTTACTAAAATGTATAATAATCTTAATATAAAATTTTAGTTAAGCGTTAAAAACCGCATAAATATTCCAAAAAAAAAAAACATGAAAAATATTTCATAACTTTTTTTATTCTTTTCATAGATTCGTACATTCAATAACTCAATGATAGTTTTGTAAATCATAAAAACAATAGATTTCAAATATTATAGTCGGGGCCACGAAAAGTGGCGCGTGACCGACGCGATCCAAGCGGTTAAATCGTCTAACGGGTTCTAACGTCTAACGGCTAAAACCAATCGTCGTGCTTTTTTAAAAATACTATTTTTATAATAGCATAAAATGAACGCCGCAAATTGAGAACCATTGTTTGCAGACAGAGTGAGGGTCGGTGTACAACGAAGATCACACGCCAGTTTTCGTGTCCCCGACTATAATGAAAAGTAAATTCAACATTCAATGAAAAATGCATGAAAAAGTAATAACAAATTGGAAAAATATAATGGCTGGAGTATCAGCTATATATTGTGTCTTAGTGCCTCTTTACTGCTAATAAGCCAGACAAAATTAACTCAATAGTCCCTTTTTTAACTGACAAAACAGGAATTTCAACAACAATTAAAATAGTTGATTTTTATGATCAACATACTTTGAAAACTTTCTATCAACCACATATCAATTGGACGAGGCATTTGAAAATAAAGTTCAATAGTGACAAATTGGTAAACGTAAATTATACTCTAGTAGTTTAAATAAAGATACTTTAGGATAGTTAAAAAAAATTGTAATTATCCATTGCTTTGAGAGACTAGCATGGTTAGAAAATTGTAAAAAGTGGTGAAACAAAAAATTTCTTACTAACGTTTTGTCCGCGTTCCACTGTCCATGCAAATTTTTCTCCGCGCACCCGAGAAATATGTATGCGATATGACCTATTACTTCCATAGCCTCCATTATGAAATTCCACATAGCCAATGCTCTCGGTGACGGTTTATATTTCGATATGACCACGCCAGACGTCACAATACCTAAACCCGAACTCAAAATACCTATGGCACCCGATGCAAAGTTGGAATTCGCGGCAGTCTGTCTGAATTGGGTCTCCATATACTTAGGCATGAACGTCCAATATCCAATCAGGCCCAACATAAAGAATGAATTGCTTGCCGAATTAAAAATCAGTATTTTGTTTGTCAAAATCCGTTTCAATGATGTTTTGAAATCTGAAACCATACTAGATTTAATCGAAATATTATTAATGCATAATTTAACAATATTTTTGAATATCAATTGTATATCATAACCTGAATTTGGGGCCCATTTTGTTAAAAAAAAATGTTAAAACATGTTTATTATATTATGTTTCTAAAAATGTAACTATATAAAACATAAAAATAAGTAAATATTTTTTTTTTTTTTGAAATAAATAAATTTTCAATTGATTTTAAAATATAATATTTGGACAAAATATTATAAGATCAATTTTATTACAAGTGTTTTTGGAATTTGGACTTACCGGTTGAAACTTGTTCTACTTTTACTTCAGGTTGTTCTAACTTGCGAGCCGCTGCCCTCGGAAGCGCTTTCGGAAAAAAAATCATCATCATCGAAAAAGCTATGCAAGTAATACCAATAGGCGTCCAACCTATAATGTTAAAACAATAATAAATGAATACTATGCTAATCGTGCTGTATAGTACGCAGTATAACTATGCAGTTGAAGATTTTTTTTTTTAATAGTATTTATATAAATTTGCTGTTCTATCATGTATAAATTACTATATATTTCTGTTTTTCATCTTTTTTATAAAACAGTTACTTTATTTAATTACCATAATTTTGTATCAGCAAAGTAAGTTACCTAGTTTTTTTTTTTTTTTTTTTTTTAACTCGTTAAGTTCAATTAATGTAGAAAAAAATAAGTTAAGTGCAAGTTTAAAACTTCTTTTATTTCTTTTTAACTTAAAAAAGTTAAAGAATAAATATAGGTATATAAAATAACTTATATCTTAGCATTTAAGCTGATTATTTACAACATGTATATTGTCAGAACATAATCAAAATTTGATATAAGTATGAAAAAAAAAATTCATTAATACTCAGCTTTTATACTTATATGTAAGGAGATTCTGTTTTTACAGTGTAAAACAATGGTAAGTGCGCATACATCAAATAAAAAGTGAAATCCTGTGAAACTATTGAAGAAAATGAGACTGCATCAACAAAAATATAAAAATGCGTATTAACAGAATGGTTTTTATTAATACAAAACGCACACAATCAGAGTAGGTACAAACATGATACGTTACTTAAAATATTAATATCAGAACACAGTCTAGTGAGAAGTCATATCAACTTTCATTTTCAACCAGTAAACATCTACTCATAACTACGAAGAACTGTCGACAACTTATATATTCGAGATTACAACGATGTTAATTAACCAATAAATGTTCCACACTTCCGAAAAAGTCGTAGTAGAAAAATAAAATTTCACCCCGACGATAATAACCACAATTACACCGTAATTACTAATACCACTATCGCCACCCAGACTCATCGGGATCGACACGACGGTGTTTGTCGACTAAGTCACCACGATCGTTGGCGTTCTCGCAACCAAGCACCAAAGATCAATCGCCCGTACAAGTAGTCTATTGTTTACTACTCACCTTTGGTACAACACATACATCTAGAAGCGATTAAAACGATCCTTTTGGGAATAGCTGCTTAATCAACGGCTTGAACCCGACTTTTATGATAACAACACAACCCTTATTATTTTAATGTTAAAGAATCACGCTCACGTCTATCTGACACCATTGCTTTACATTATGCTTAACTCCCTCTAAACAGCACAATATATAAAATAACACATTAGCAATAGCCAATAATATAGGCAAGCGTAATATTGGAAACGAGTTTATTATCATTTCAGAATTTAAAGTGGTCCTTCAGAATCCCAATAAGCCGTTTCAAATCGTTATTAATACTATAATAATATGGTAAGAGTACTCACCCATCCACCAGGCACCGATCCACCTCGGGTCTTTGTTGGTTATGGTAGGCGTCAAATTAGGTTCGATGAAAAAAGTAAGTGTGTATGCCGACAGTATGTACCCCAACATGGGACCCAACATTCGTATACACTGGACGATCGCTGTGAATATTTCATAAATCGTTTGAAAAAGTGTTACCTGACAATTGATCGATGATTTTAAAATTTAATGTCGAAAAAATATAAAAACTCAACACGGGTCGTTTTTAATTAATTCATTACGTATTTGTATTTTATAAATCGTTTTAAACAACAATCGTACAATGCAATGTTTAAACCCTTTTATCATCTAACACGATTTAACAGAGTTACATCCAACCTTCAAAGGGTCATATTATATTCATAGATAGAATATCATCTTAATACCTTCTATGCAGAGGTGTAAAGTATTTGAATATTGGTATACAAATTTTACTTTTATCATTCTTTGATTTAAGTAGTATTTAATGCTATAATATATATTTAATAATCTTATAGTTTGTACTGATGTTCTATAAATTGATATTATTTTATTAAAATTTTTACAATTATTTATAATTAGAAATGTATAGATAATTTTAAGAATATTATGTTCATGACTTTTTGTAAGTATCTGTAACTTAAAATTTAATAACCATTTTAGCATATAAATAAAATTCTAGGTAATAAAATTGTTTAAGTACTTAAAAAACTATTTAATTTTCTCAAATGCATATACATTTTATAAAAAGGTATTCAAGTATTATTTTAAACACTTTTTTCAATGATATTTTGTTTACTTATTCAAATATTTTTCAGAGAATTTTTTTACAACTCTACTTCTAAGGCATGTTAAATCCACTAAAAATTCATCCGATGAGATAATTTAATTGAACCTTTAATATACCACCAATTCGAAAAAGTGACGATTGCTAAACAAAAGAGGTTGTGCTGATATAATTAATACCAATTATTTTGTTGAATCTGGAACCTGCAGTTAAATTATCCGTTATTACGTATGACTATTATTTTACATGTACCAAAAAACTCGAATCTCTAATTAAGTCGGTTTAACGATCGCCTAAGAATAAATTCTATATTGCTTTTTTTTTTCTATTATCCACAAAATAATTTTTCGTAATATGAGTAGGTTTAATTTTTCCGTCGTTTTTTTATTTGAAAATATACCTAAAAGCAAGGGTACTACATTCTTGCGAGCGTTGTCGTCCAAGTATGCCGCACCACAAGTCCAGTACATCGAACCACCAAGGCCTAGCATCGCATGTGCGGAGCACAACAGGATAGCAGCCACGTTCCAGAACTCTTTGTTATCGCAATCATCGTTCAATGGTTGACCATCACAGATTTTTTCGTTTCCTTCTTAATTACATAAAAAATACATTTTTTAGTATTTTTAAAAGTCAACAATCACAACCAGTTACAAGTATTATGACGTTAAGAATGTCATAGTAAAAAAAATTAATAATACATTTCTTAACTAAAAATGAGCTTTTTTTGGTTTAACAAATTATAAGTTTTAATCAACAATAATATAGTATATAATTTATAATTCATATTTTATTTTCATTCTTTATACTCACGTGATGTATTACTAAGCAGAAAAGTTGAATTCTCCTTGTTACCGTATTCGACAGTGTACTGAAGAATTTCTTCACCTGGCCCGTAAATAATGTGTGGCATGAGACGAACAAAACAAGAAAGACCGACGAAGAAAGAACCAATGGCCAGCCAACGCGTCCTATGACCTTTACCAGCCAAATAAGACGTGATCATAAATGATATGACTGAAAACAAATCCCAAGTGCTCGAAATGATACCTAAAAATGTGTAAGTAAACATTAATTAATAATTAATATCCCCAAAAACAAAATTTAAATATTTATTACTAAAAACTAAACAGAAAAATAAAAATTTAATTACAAATTAAAAATTAGTACATCATATGTTACATTTAAAAATATAAAAATAAATAAACTTACTTACGTTTGTATAATAAATATTAATCTACAGATATTATAGATATATAGGATAAAAAAATATAATTAAATGGCTAAAATGTTAAAATTTATAAAAAAATATATATAGTTTAATAATCCTACCTCTAAATTTGCCGATAAAAATTTTCAAAAATATATTTTTGTTTATACAATTGTTACGTACCGTGTTATTTCAACACATATTATATTATACGGAGAGGTGATGTGTATACCGATGGAAAAACATATTCAAACAGTGTAGTATCGAACGGCTATGGCGAACACCTGCATATCGTGTTATTCAATAAAACAATTAAGACTATATCACACGTCTTGGATTTCTTAGAACCGATGAAATCGCAGGAAAGGCACCCAACTGAATAATACATTTAATTTAGAGATCTCCTTTAGATCATCGGAAGTCGCCACCTCCCCAGTCACCACTCTTGACGGTTAACCATATATAAGGGAGACCGGGGCAAGAGCTCAGCAGACGGTTAGGGATATTCGAGACGCTCAGAGGCAGGTCGTAACACCACTCACGGTCTCGTCTATCAGTATTTCAGAGGCAGGTCGTAACACCACTCACACCATCTTGTGCTTATAAAATTGTATTCTTGTACGAGTTAATTGTATTAAATAAAGACTTAATCTTTTAACTTGCAAACATTAGTATTTCTATTTCTACGTTGATATATGAATCGACGTTGACATAAGGGACGCAACACAATTAATAGACGAAATATGATTTTAAAACTGTAATATAAGTACAAACGACATTAAAAATTGCAAAAGTATGTGTAAAATATTTATATTTAAATTCACAACATTATTAAAGGTGAAGTATTTTAGTATTTATATGATTTAAACTAAATTTATAAAATGTATTTATTTATTTAATTAAAACATAAATAACTATGTTTTCTATTTACTAAAATCATAGTCCAAACATTTGTCTGCGATAATCAATAGAAAAAAAATAATAGAAATAATGACTATGGCCGGGATCTTATTGAGTGATGCGTACTTTACTCGCATGTATTTTTAAACACGGTTTTAATGATTTGATTAACTATTTACTAGGTAAATAGTTTACGTTTTACTTACCACTCGTTTGACTAGAGAATTTAAATCTCTTCTCCATAGTAGTCAGTGTACCGTTAAAATACGAGGACAACATGAATTGGTTGAGTCCCAAAAGCCCGTATATGATAACATAAACTTTTTTGCTTGCAAATATCTGAAGCCATTTGGGCCTGAACAACCATATCCCGCAAACCGTGTCTTCCACTTCCGGGTTATCCGAAGTCTTGATGCTCATTTTACTCAATTCTAAACAAAATCAAATTTCGATGATCAATACAATTAACGATCACTGTTTAGTTATAATTGAATGATACGTGATATTCTTGAGATGCGAACACATCGTGTACCGCTTTAAAGTTCCGCCAACAAAAAAATAATTATTATTATTATTTATCCAAATACAATATTATACCAAGTGTAAGTGTTTCGCACGAATTACTTAATATACTAGTATATACATTAAATATATCATTAATCCTGAATTTATTTACGTTATAATTATGATACGGTTGAACACGGTATAATATTTTTCGCCAACTTTTTGAACTTCTGTTACCTACCATCGCAGCCCGACAATACACAAACAAACACATACAGCGTATTTTTCGTCGCTGTTTATATACGGACAAGCACTGTTAATACGCTACCAACCATTATTTCACTTCAATTCATTTAGTGTATTATAATGACGGTTGAATATAAAGGCATTGATATTGTAGGCATTTTAAAATTAACTCATTTACCAAATATTTAAGGAATACCACAAAATACGTCTTATTAGTTGTTGGCGTATAATTTAGTCAAACATTATCATACCAAGGTTTGCATGTTGTTTCATCACATTCACTGCCGTGAATGCCGATTAAATAACATAATTTAAGCAAAGCATAGGTAGCTCATTTTTACAATGCAATATACAATACTAAAAAGAACAATTACTTAATAATTTACATTGATTATGTGAAAATCATTTAGAAAAATAATAAAAATAATAAGTTTGTATCAATATATTACCATAAGAAAATTCTAAAAAAAAATCTAAGTAGGTACTTAAAATTATTATTTAAAGGTAATTAAAAAATTAAAAAATCGGGATTTCATTATTAAACACAAAAAAGTGTTACAAAACTTTGTAACTATTACGTGTATAATTCATTTATAATTTAAACATAAAAAAAATAAATAATATAATGTATAAATTTACATGTTTAAGATTTGGAGAGAAATGGAAATATTAAAAATATTTACAAAGATGTTTTATTTACTTTAAGTCATTAGAAGTAGTTTTGAAGTTAATTTATATTATGCGTTTTTTTTTAACGTATATTATTATATTTTAAACACACAATTTTATTTTCAAGAATAATATTTTCAGCAAAAATTAATTCAATCTACTGTGTTACTAATACTAAAATTAATTACTTTAATTACAATATAAATATGTTATAAAATATACTTATACGTCTTGAAATGGCATAATATATTTTTTAATACACGCGATTTAAAATATGTTCATCAAGTGTATACTTAAAAATTTCAAAAAAAAATAATTTTAAAAATGCTTATTTGAAGGAAAAAATGGAGGTGAACAGGCTTAGTGAATCGCCCTGTAAAGTCTCGTAAGTTATTTGTAAAACGTTCGAATACAAACATTTACACGTGTTTCCGTTTCCGGAATGGGTCATGTCTTCGAATGTAATGTGTTCGAAGGTCATGTTTTCGAATAACAAGTGTTAAAAAAGTTATTATGTACGAAAATTATTTATTTTAATTAAAAATAGCTATCTAATATTTTAAAAATTAGGTGCGGTGATATTCACTTATATCAAAATTCGAAAGATTAGCCCAAGTTCAATTACCTTTCTTTGCCTGGTAAGGGTCAACGGCCATGAACGGTGCGATATTCGGCTATATCGGAGTCACCAGATTAGACGTTGAACAATCACCCGTTAAACCTAACCTTAGCTGATACACCAATAATATTTATGTTTTTTAAAATTAATTTAATATATACCTTAACGTAACAAAAAACACAATTTTTGGGAGATATTATAGCCAACATCCACACAGTGTCTCCTGGGTAACGCAAATAGGATAGTCCCAACTCATGTGCTTTCATAAAACAACTTATGATATTTAACATATTATTTCGTTAATATGACTTTTTGAACATAGATCTATTCGAACAAATAATTTTTCTAACACTTTTCATTCGAAAACATGACTTTCGAACACGTGACATTCGAAGACATGTACCTCACCCACCGTTTCAGGCATTATCGTGTATAAGTTATGTTATAGTTACGTTTAGGTAATGTGTATAAACACGTTCACCAAAATTATACATACTATGCGCACGTGTAATAATATCATTAAATAATAGCAGCAGGTTTTAATAATGTTATATATTTAGATAATACAGTGAAAATTATAATATGAGTCGGTTAGTAGGCAGTGATACGATTCGATTTCGGGGTGTGAATATATAAATCATTATAGAATATAGATTATATTATAATAGTGATTGGCGAGTATTGTAGGCTTAATATTGTACACGTTTAGAATCACTGAAAACTGACGAAATGAGACTGGAAAATTAAAATTAAAACGCGCAAGTTTATACGACTTGGCGGTGGATCTTATATTATTACTAATACTTCTTGTTGAAAAAATAAGCACGTATACGATAATATAACGGTATTTACCTGCAATGTTACAAATCACAAATTACTTATAATATAGTTTTCACGAAAAATTAAGAATTGTATAGTTATGTATATTTTTCTCATTTTTCAACTACCTATACTAGCAAAACACAAAATACGAGTATACTGTCGTTGTATTATAATAATTATGATTGTGGTAACAAATAAGTAATGTGGAATGTAAGTGAAAATCAATGGTTGATGACAGAACAGCGAAAGTATCAGAGGCTCGTGTAGCATACGAGTACTTACGTTGTCTCATTATTATAACATTGTTTATTATTTTAAATACCTACGCGTTAATCTCTCAGCTATTATATTATAGAGCAATTCTTTTAATGTCATATTTTTCTCATTATCTCGAAAAGTATGAATGTTATTAGAAATATATTTTTGCTTATAATTCTAAGTTGTTACAAAATAACATTTAAGAAAAACATATATTTTAATTTTTAATTTTTGTTGTTTTTAATTTTGCATTTCTGAGCAGAATATTTTTTTAGCAGTTTAATACACCATATAAAAAAGCTAAATAAATGTTTTAAAAATAAATCAAATTTAAAATCAGTAGTTAATTAGTTTTAAATATTTTAAATATTTAAAGTTTGAATATTCGGATTATTATAATGATATAGAAGTTCTCCAAAAGGCCATGCAATGTTTTTCCATCATTCAATTAAAGATTCTATAAGATATCTACTTATAAGTAGAACTAAGGTATTAATGCTAATAAATTCATAAAAAATATATGTAATTATATGTGATTTAAAATTATGCAAAAAAAAAAATTATAAATAAATAAAATAACGAAATAATATTTTAAATGTAATTTTAAAAATTCCCATTGAAAAAAATACACAGGGATCATAAAATAATAGTTTTTATAAAGTTTACTAAGCGTAATAATATTTACGATTTTACATTGAATACTTTTAAAAAATAAGTATTTTAAATATAAATGCTAACTGTCCTTCAAGAACGTACTAAAAAATAAATAGTGAAAATTGTATTAAACATCAATCATAATGCCACCTAAACGTTCTAAACCAACTACAATATGATATCAACCAAAAAGGTCGTCACTTTGCTTTTACAGCTATTCATAGTATCAATTTAAAGTTTAAGTACAGTTTTGAGTTTAAATGTATTAAATTGTTTTTTATTTACTGTACTTTTTAAAGTCAATACATGCAACGTCAATATATTATATTTTTTGTTTATCTACCCGAATGGTTTTTAAGTCACTACTACTCGGCGTCATCCAAAATGGTCATTATCATCATCATCGCGCTAAAAATGTCGCCATTCAAAATAATGTAGATACATATTGTAATTTACCTAACCTATATTCAAGTAAACTTACACACGAATACATTACTGTGCAAAATTGTCATATGGTCAAATATCGTTGCACAAGACCTCGACCTTCGACTTGTATAATACAATAACTGCACTGAATGAGGTTCGATTTTTTCATCGGTAACAGCGTAAAACGCGATATATGGATGTACCACCCCGCTCTGAAAATTCGCTGTTTGGAATACTTATATCAGTTATATCGAAACATTATATTTTCATGACAACAATATAGTTTCCTTGAACATATGATAGCATATTATCCGCGGGCAAAAGAAATTGCATATTATACGACGTTTTAACTCATGATTTTCTTGATATTTTCCCCCACAATACAATAATTGTATTATTGTGAAACACGTACAGTGTTATTTCGTTGTATTGTGTATTATCGTTTATGGTTTGCTCTGTCGAAGGTCTAAGACCATTGTCAGTATGTGACAATATCTACGAATTAAAAATATAATAATCATAGCACACCGGTCTATTATAATTATTTATACACACAAACCTATATAATACTCGTATTGTGCTGTTATTCAGAATGAACATGCATTATTTTTACATATTATGTTTCTATACCATATAATATTCTGATGTGTGAAATTAAATTGACTAAAAGGAAAAAAACGTTTTAGATAACGTTCCTCGATAATACATAATATTATTTTAATAAAACTATTTACGTTAAGTATTCCAAACATGATATGTTTGAGCATAGGTTACACGCTAATATTATATAAGTATATATATATATATATATATATATACCTATAATATATATATTTGATATTATCGTATGTAGTTACAACGTGGTGATTTAGTAATTGTTTTAAATAGTGAACAAACCACTGTCAAATTCTATTAAGTTTTTAGAAAATTTTATTTTACCTAATTTAAATCCATTAAAAAACAATTTTTATGAGGGAAAAAATAATGTTTTTTCATATTTTTTTTTTTTTTTTATAATCTTTTACAGTGTAAACAAGTGTTATTATATTGTATTAGATAGATTAGCATACATTTTTTTAAGTATTAATTACTATACGAGTAAAGTGAAAAACCTCTCATTTAAACATTAAATGTAACATACCTACTTCTTATGGTACTCAAGTACTTGTTTAAAATAAGATATCTTCAAAAACTTAAAAAAATTATCTCACCATTCAAAAAAAGTGTAAACTTAAAAAATTAAACAATTATAAATAAAAAAATAATCAAAAATATAATCTTTTTTTAAAAAAAATTTTGCCATGAGTTCAAGTTAAGCAGTAAACGAAAATTATTTCAGAAACGTTATGCTATTCAAAATAATAACATAATCATTTAATCACCGAATACGATATATACTTTGATTTCTAAAGTTATATTTGAATACCAACAGGGGTAATGCCCGGTATTATGTTAATATATTTTATTTATTATATTATAATGCAGATGATCTCTCTTAAAAGATAAATGACCCGGATGTTGGGTTTTGTTCCAATTTTGATTCGTCATCATTATAGAAACAACAACTAAAAATAGTATTACAGACATGTTAATTGAACACTCATTAAAGTAAATAATAATAAGCTAGATACAAAGTACATCACTGAATACATGTTAATACTTAATTATAAATATAAAGTTATTTACTATTTAATGTAATACATTAATTCAAATATCTTAAGTATTTTTTTTAGATATGAATAACCATGTTCTATTTATTGCAGAGTATATCCGTACCAATTAACTCTGCTCGCCATAACTTTCAATACTTATAACTTATAAGCTGCGCGACCGAATTTCGATTTTTATGTATTAAAATATTCCAAAAATAAACTATTATAGAGTAAGAAATTAAAAATGATTTTTGTCATTCCAAAAAAATAAAAAAACTTAAAAAATATGAACAATTTTAATTTTTTTTAAATGTTGTTTTATTTCGATCAAAGATCTTATAAAAAAAAAATATTTTGAAAAACGTTAACAGATGTTGAAATAATTAATGATTGTTGTGTGATAAAATAATCACCCTGAGTACTAAAGAATTTGCTATGATGATTTAAAAGAAAATGATATTCATTAATAATAATCTATATTAACATTTTTTTATTTTACAAAACGACTTGAATTGTGCTTATTATAAGCAGCTTATATATATATATATGTATATGTATAAATTATCTTTATTTTTATTTGATATAAAACCATATAAAAGACTATTATCCTTATTACGTACGAGTACATTTTAATGATTTTAAAACTACTCGTTTGAATTCCAATTTAGATCAATTTAAATTTTTGCAAATCATCTGCTTAACAACTTCCTGTGAAAAAAGTTGATTCACATAATACTCGGAGATACGAAGTTTGTAAATTTCTCGAATAATTCCTAACCTAACTATTAAACACCGTCATAACGTAGTACTACGATATTATTTCTGTTCAGATTGAACGAAATATTGACTGAAATATATATAAAAGTCGCTAATTCTTCGGTTTCGATTTCGTGCGGTACAACGACCAGGTTCGCACTCGCAACGAACCAATCGACCAAATGCTTTTTTGCCCCGAGTTAGTATACGTACTTCAGGCGGACACGGTCTCGATGTTTTTGTCTCTTACGTAGGTACCTAATAAACCGAAGTAAAATTTACACGGTAATCGTTTAACGTCAGTGTTCTATGTACGACTGTAGGTGCACTGCGCTTCAATGATGGACGTAAAACGACACGAAATAATGAGTTCAATCAGTCGAATCAGACATGGCGCGCGTTTTGTCAACGACGCCGACCAGTATTCTGACCGGTGCGGATACCGTCCGTCGTGAACGTCCGGACGAGCGGTTACAAAATTATACGTAGACCAACATCACTATACCTAAATCATCGTCGTTTTTGTCCGCCATAGTGATTCCGCGTCCGCCTCCGACGCGCGTTTCAATTTATCGTCTAAAGAATAATACGTATTATGTTACACGGTGCGCGTTATCGCGTGTCACACTACTGCGACGCTGTCGTCGCGTCCCGTCTAATATGCGTACAAGACGACGGCGGTCGATAAATTGTTTTCGCGTACGCGTTTATTATTATTATTACTATTATTATTATTATATTTATATATATATTTTAACGCGAGACTTCCCGTCGACCGGGGCTCAATCAAAACGATATAAATCAAAACGGTCGTCGTCGTCGCCACCGCTCCGTCGCACCGCCGACAGTGTCCCACACGACAACAATGTTATTATTATTAATATTATTATTACGGTTACGGTTACGGTTACGGTTACTATCAGGTTACTGTTGGTCTGTTCCGCGTTCTCGCGCGCGCGTGTGTTGACGAAATTTCGCGCCGGCGCTCGCGGCAAACGGCCGACGGGTGGACGGCGAAACGTGGTTCGAGCAACTACGCGGCCGAACGCGCGTGTCGTGTCGCGCGGACGACGGCGCGTCTGCCTGCGACCACCGCGCGGCCGCCCGAAAACGAGTCGGCCCGACGGATTTTCGGGCGGGGAAAAGTCTCGTCCGCGCCAAACCGACGGCGGCAACGGCGCGGCCGGCCTGTGGCAGTGGCTGATTTTATATTGCAATATAAATTTGTGACGCGTACGGCGAAACTACGGCGACGGGTGGCCACGGCGACCAGCGGCGGGTGACGCGGCCGTGCGTGTTCGCGAGCGGCTCCGCGCCGTCCGGGCGCGGCGAAGGGTAGTGGATTACGGTGGCAGGGGGGGGGGGGGGGGGACAGCGGACGGACGGCGCGATCGCCGCGGCGTTGTCGGTTAGGCGATGCGCCCCGCGAACCGGCGGCGACGTCTCTCTCGACCGAAACCCGTTTTCGCCCGGCGCGCTTTACCGGTTCGTTACAGTTTTGGGAAATTTCTAGATAATTGATCTAGATAGAATTGATTTATCTTCCGACTCGTCCAGATAAAATTCTAGTCATCCACGAGTACCTCCTATCTGGATAATTTATTTTTATGGGCTCAAAAAAAAATAATAATTCAAATTCAAACTAAAAATATTATTTTTTTCAAATGTAAATTGTTTTCGATGTATTAACTCAAAGATTGACTGATTATCTTCTAATGGAATTTATTACTCATTTTTTCATACTTTTTCAAATTTAAGCTTTTTTTTTGTGTTGTTAATTCAGAGAATGACTTTCCACGTGTTCTAATGAATAAATTATTTTATTTTAAGTTTATATTTTAAAATATTTTAAATGATATATTTTTTTTACTCAATATCTATACCAATATCACTGAATATTTGCAAAATTAATGAAATTATTTAGATCAAAATTACTACAGTCATCTTTATCTTTATCTAAATAAATTATTAATTATCTATTCCCAACACTGCGTTTCGGTTCGATCGTTTCCGCGCTAAAGTTCCGATTCGGTCACGTCTACATCCGTCGCTTGCAACATAAACGTTTGCTGCTGCCCTTTACCGCGAATTCACCCGAACCACGCCAGAGGTATACCGTCGAAATTTAAAGTGCGCACACGTCGTATAGCTCACCGACTTTTGAACACGACTACCGGGCGAAAATAATTTGATACTGTATCGCGGACACCGATGGTACTCGGTCAGGTTTGAACGATTTTTTTTAAACGTGTTCGGCGATTTCAACAATACGATGTACACCGTGTTTTCAATAGTCATCACGGAATGCCTTTATTTCCTGCTTCTTGTAATACACTTCAATTTGAGCCATCGTTAATTATAACCGGTGCTCGTCGCCCGTCGGTATTAAATTTCCAATTATTTTAAGTCTATTATACAAATTCTAAATTTAATTAATTCAGTTTTTTTAGTTTATTAGAAAATTAACTGAGTATAATTAAATTAAAGGGTCGCTGTAAATTGCGTCCCGTTTTAAATTTTTTATGTAAATTGCGGCCCGGGTATATTTTATACATACGTAAATTGCGGCTCGGGTATATTTTATACATACGTAAATTGCGGCCCCGGTATATTATATACATACGTAAATTGCGGCCCCGGTATATTTTAATATATTTGCCTACTTAAATATTTGTCATTGTTATGTAAATTACAAAATCAATATTTTCCTTCCCATTTTTCAGACTTAGGACTGGCAATATAATTGTATTCATATTGGTATGGTTAAAAATATTGGTTTTGCTGTTTTGTTTATAATTAAAAAAATATATTATTAAAAATAAGTAAAAATGTGTATAGTGAAAAAAATAGTACCTATTATAAAAATTCAAATTAATATACTGGTAAAAACTTATAAGATAATTCCCGCACATAGTCTAACTGAGTAATATTTTTTGCTTGCAATTCATACATTTTGTCATGTATAAATGATTCTTTATCAGTAACCTAACCGACCGGAAATCGGAATATCCCGGGCCGCAATTTACGTACATTTCAAATATACCCGGGCCGCAATTTACGTATGTATAAAATATACTCGGGCCGCAATTTACACAGTATATAACTATGACCTTTTTTGCGGGACGCAATTTACCAACTCCGAAATTAAAACGTGAAAATCGAATTCACATTTTAATTATTTGTTTAGCCCTTTAAAGATATTATAGATACACAGAACTTTTGTTCAAGATTAATCAACCACTCGTCGTAGTACCTGAATAACTTTACCTGAATAACTTTCATAACAATTAAATATATTTTATGTGTTAAGTTTTTTTTACACCATTCCACCTAACACGTACCAAACTAAGATTATGATGCGATTTATTTTCTTGAAAAATGTGTAATTTATAAAAATAAAATCTTACACCTATCAAAATAAACAAACTTTTAGAAGAGAACATTATATTTATTATAAATCTAGTGACTTTGTTAAGAACTAATAACAAAAATATTTTAGTTGTAGTTTATTTATTCTAAATTTCTACGACATAATAACAATATTAATCATATGTATTATTCATTAAATAATAAACAATTTCACAAAATAACAAGATTGCGTGGTTCTCGAGACATGGCTACAACACACTAATCTGTAAATATAAAATGGTAATAATTAAATTGACGAATAAATATATTATTATTATTATTAAAGTAAATACCTTAGACTTTAGCGTTAAATCCTTAGTTGGATCGGAGTTCTTTGAGTATATCGAACGTCAATTCCCTGATTTCTTTGGCGCTGAATTCAATGTTAAAGTCTTGTTCCAACACTTGTTTGATGTCAGTTCCTAGCAACGAGTCCAAACCAAGTTCGGTCAGTGTAGATGTACCCAAAACGTTGTTGATGTCTTTAATACCTGCATGTATTTATACAATTACAATATATTAAACCGATGTAAAATGTTTCAATATAATATATTAAATCATATTATATTAATAATGTTATGAAAACCATCCTGTGATAGGTGAGTAAGTACAAGTGGGTATCCATAAGATAAGTGAAATATTGGAGTCTAAATAAAATAACATCCCATATGCGTTTTTTTTATTATACTTGCCTAAAACTTTGGCGACGGCGTCGGCAGGTCCAACGGACACAGGCTCAACGTTAGTCATCTTCTTCTCAACGAGAATCGAGCTCGATAGCACGGCATATGGCTGATTCAAGAAATTGTCAACCACGTTTAGGCATGAATTTATCCTCTGAGGCAAAGTACCACTAACAATCGCGTTATTATCGTCAAACGTATCCAAAATTGGACCAACGTCTCCAATCGCGCCCCATTCGACGACAGTCTGGAAAAAAATAAATATTTTTAACAATTTTACTATGACGCACAATTATTATGGAATATTTTTGTAGCTAAAATATAATAATTTAAGAACGCATTTAATATAATATTAATGTTAGTGATATATTATTATCTAAAATCAACATTAGGTACTATTTATTTATTTTATGTCAGCAATATTATAATTAATGTCACCGATATTCCCTTAAGTATGACGTAACTGACACCTCGTACTAAACTGTAAATACGAATATTTTGTTAGTATTTTATTATGCATATAGAAAAATTTCGAAGATACAAAATATTAATAATATATTAACAAAACATTCGTATTTACAGTTTTGTCAAACTATTAGGCACCAGTGATCACTATTGACATCAAATAAATACTAACTGCTTTAAGATTATTTATTTTAAATTTACATTAAACAAAAATAATTTTAAATGCATTTTTAAAATTCATAGGACATATTAGATATAAATACGAAGCGCTTATCGTATTTGGTAAAAATTGTAAAAAACTATTACCGATGGGTATCCAGCCGCTTTTCGAGCTTCTGAAATCTTTGTAACCACTGAGTCAGAGTAACCATGGTCGGCTTGACCAGCTATACCATGTCCAGAAGTTCCGGAGGACCAGACAAAGAAATATTTGAGTTTTGGACACAATTTTTGGGAGACAGTGTCAAGATTCATGACAGATGCAGCTTTCTGATCGAATGCTGAGCGGAAATCGGTCGTGGTCAAATCCGTAGACGTGACACTGTGTAACACAGCTTCCACGTGGAATATTCCTGCGACTGGTCCCAATTGGTTGGCTCCTTTCAGCAGCTCTTCAACTTCTTCCGGTTTAGTCGTATCGTATTGAATGACACTAACCTCGATGTTCTTTTCTTTCCACCTCTTCATGAACAACGATTGGAACCCGGTATGGACTCCATTGCTAGATACTATTACTATTTTTTTCGCACCTCTGGTCACCAAAAAGTTAGTCATTTGTAGACCAAAGTCACTTAGACCGCCTAAAATATTGATTCAAAAATTAAAAAAAAGTCGTTGGAAATCTGCACAGATTCGATTTAAAATAAAAGTTCTAGTACAATAGTTTTAACAACGAAATACGACATTTTTTTATATATATATCCACAAGTAAGATTGGGTTTATTTAAAAAAATTTAAATTCAAACATACCGACAACAACATATGTCTTTTCTGGGTCAACAAATGTTTTCGGTACTGCCATTACTTTTTTGGGCACTGGAATGACGACTTTTTTCGACTCTTCATCACGGATTTTTAATACAATTTTACCAATATAGTTGAAACTTTCGGTCTTTCTACATAAGTAAAACAAATTAGTTGAACAATAATTAAAAAAAAAAATAAAACTCAAATGCTTCGCTTACTCAAAAGCTTCTAATAAACTTTTATCAGTAGAGTAGACCGTTGTGGGCAATGGCTGTACTTCGCCGGTTTTGATTCCATTTGCTATGCATTTGTAGAGCTCCTGTTTATCATTTAGGGAGTATTTTCCGTGGAAAAGACTCTTCAAGTTCATTTTTATGATGGTAACGTTTTTTAAATTTCCAGTAACACCTGATTTAATTTTAAATCACACAGTTCAATTAATTCAATTTTTATCAGGTATAATAAAGCTTTTATGCTTACCAATTGATTCAATTGCTTGCTTTTGTTTTTCAAACTCTACAATACGTCCACTTTTTGCTACAATGTGGGTGAAACTCTGTAATTTAAATGAAGTTGACTCGAGCGTGTTGAAGATTAAATTCACACCCTCTCCATTGGTCTTTTCGAGTAGCTCTTGTTCTGCAAATTTGCTGTTAACGATATTGTCTTTGGAGATCTAAAACATGGCATATTTTACGTTTATACAATAACTATTAAAATTAAACACAAATTAATCTGCTTATAAAAATAAATAATAACACTCTAATCATAATGCATACCTTAGGGTACATTTTTTGTAGATATTCTCTTTGCGAATCGTTATCTACTCCAACGTATACTTTTATGTTGCTGTTTTGTAAGATATTGAGAGAAGCTAAGACTGTGTAATTTGTACCAGAGTTAAGGTACAGTGATTCGTTCGGTTGAAGTTTACCACGTATAAACAGTCCATAATAAGCCTGAAATGAAAATAAATAATTTCTTATCAATTAAAAGTTGAGTTTTAGGACTAGTAAATTGTTTTTTGATAATATTATTCATGGTATGTAATAACAAAATAAATGTAAAAAATTATATATTCGACTTAAAATGATTGTTCTAGGTTATTCTCTTATCTATAATAAGACCTATCAGTTTAGGTACTATATTGTTAAGTAAAAATAGTATGGAAAATAGTGTTATGGTTTATAAGTTGACAACAAAATAATTGTATGGAGTGAGTTCATCATAAGCATCAATTTAAAATAGTAAAGATAAAAAATATAATTTCTCGAAATACTCATGCATGAATTATAACTATATCTCAGATTGATGATCAATAACGTATTGGAAAGAAATGATTTGTAAGATACAAGTTAGTTAAAATTAAAAAAGAAAGAAGTAGGCATTTTAAGAGATTGAAAATATCCTTTATGTAATAATTCGTCGAAATTCTGAAATAAAATTGAAAGAGTAATAATATATTACTTAAAAACACACATAGACAAATTCGTTTAAGAATGAGTCTTTCTCAAATTTTTAATAAATAGAACAAGATTCTTATAGTTATCAATTAAGTTTGTAATATTTAAAGATTTACACGGTTTGAAAAATTTAGTTCAATTCAAAAACGTAAAACGTAATGTATATTTAACTATCAATAAATTTGTATATCCCACCATAAATTATGAAATCATACAAAGGCGCACACATATAACAGTGTAATATTAACTAAAAATTCTAAAGACTTACCAAAACGTATGCAACGGAAACTGTGGACGCTTGCTCAAGAGTCCAATTGTCGGGCACTTCCCACAGAGTTGAGCTGTCGGCTAACACGTGAGTAGCAAGGGCGCTACCAGATACTAATCCAAACACCCTTTGGCCCTTTGTGTTGCGACCGGCAAACTCTCGGCCCAAAAATGCACCTTGTTCGGCGACATCCGTGTTGAAGAACGGTAACCACGAGCGTTCAGCGAACAACACGTCCATATGATTCAGCGGAGCATAGTACACTGTGCACAGCTCTCGTCCCGGATAGTCTTCAGGTCTGCAGAATAAATAACGAATCGGTTGAAGAAAAAAAAAAGGTTCGATTTTAACGTGTTTTACGAAGACAAATATTATTATCGTTTGTTTACTTGTAATATTGAAGGCGGCCTTCAATCCAGCTTAATGTTGATAGATCTCCAATCTTCTTAGTTGATATGTATGCGTATTCTTTTGGTACAACCATGTTATTGGAATCATCTCCCAACAGAAAATGTCGGTTGCTACCCCAAACGCCGTCGCGGTATACGTTGATGAGCAGATCTTTTTTCAATTGTTTTTGGTAAAAATCAGAAGTCAACGAAAATTTCGGTGCTTTTGGATCTTCGATGAACAGACATCTGAATATTTACGAAAAATTTAGTTTAAAAATTAAGTGTAATTAAATATATGAATATAAACAAGTCACCTCAACGCGTTTCCGTTTTGTTCCAATCGAATACAGTTTACAAAACCTAAAATTCCAGAGTATTTAACTCCTTGACTAACTAAGAGCACTTGTTTAGATTCTTGTTCGGCCCGTTGAAGTGCCGATTTGAAAGGTTCGATCCAAGCAAAGTCATTGCCAGTGCAGTTAACCACGATCGGTTCGGACCAGTTTACATTCTAAAAAATCAAATATTATATAATATTTTTTTCCTGAAATAGAAAATAATGTATTGGTTTACCTTTCGGAAAAGAACGAATGTTTTATTATCTAACGATCTTAAATTGGCTATCAATTCCAATCCCGTTGAGTTGAGTTGTTGTTCCGTTGGTTTTTTACTTTCAACAAACAGTACACAACCGCCAACTTTTAAACTATCGACTGCATTTTTCACCAACACCGAGTTACTCAATTGATCGACGGCAATTACTAGATGACAGTTGGAATCGATCGGTTCTGGTCTGAACACATCCTTCTCCACGGCTCGAACACCAAATTCATCAAGTTGTTCCGTGACAGGAACTGGCTGATCGGTGAACACAGTTACATCCACCTATTAGAATAATGATAATTAATTTTTTTTTTCTCACACTTAAATAATATACTCATACACTTGGCATTGGTTCGGTGTTGATCACATCAATGACGGATTTTGCGTAAAGCGATTCTGGTTTTCTACCAGTTCCTACCTCAGCCACTTTTAGCTTGAAAGCACCTCCACTGTTTTCGAAAGTTAATTGAACACATGTGTCAAGAGCATATGCTGTTGGCTGAAACCATTAGTGATTTATTAAAATAAAATAATAATGATATAACATCACAATATTATAATTGTACTAAAAAATGTATTTAATAATATTTTGTAGCATAAAATTATGTTTTCAACCTAAATTATTTTTTTACCATACCTATTTTCATGTAGAAATGTGCATTATTAACTGAGATATAAAATTATAATTATTTAGCAATATTGTATTGACCTATATCATGTGTCATATAGTTTATATACATTATACGATAGCTACATAATATCGTATTCCACTAATATTTATTATTTATTTACCGTATCAGAAACATATGGTTGGAAAGAGTAAAACTCTAAATTAGGATCTTTTTGACCTTTGTTTCTCAACGGAACTTCTGTTAATTGTAATCCACGGACTTCAACGCTTCCGGCCTTAATCACGTCAACATACTTGTAATAAACAGCCGGAATAACTAAAATATTAAAAATAAATTTGATTGTTTCCTTTTAAAAACTTCAAAATGTATAAAGTTATTACCATTATCATTCGACGAGTTTTCAGTTTGTATTTGTTGTTTCGTAGGATCGATGACTACTTTTTTTACGAATTTCGGAATATACAAATTATAATTATCTGATTGCAACATCGATATTTGGAATAGATTTTCTAAAAATGCTAACCAATTTCCATCGAAATTTACATAGTATCCTATATAAAATCAAAGAAACATTTATTTTTAATAATATTTCTTAAGAACAAATTAAAATTGAATCGTTAGGATTTTAATAAGATTTTTTTAGTTATTATAATTTTTATGGAAACTCTAATTATATTATTATATATAAAAATTATAAATAAAATTTTCAATTATTAATCTATATTAAATTTAATTAGTGATTATTTTACCTGTGTCATCAACTTTTTGGATTCCTTTGAATGGACCTTTGTAATTGTAACCTTTCAAACGCAATTCTTTGTAAACATCAGATGAATCTAACGGCAAGTATTGAGATTTTTTGTTTTTGGGTGTAATCAATTTCATTAATTCTTTTTCAATTGTAGCTGATGTGCTAATTTGTCCAGAAGCCACAATCGTACCAGATTGTTTGAGTTCAAATTCACCAGATGTTAATACGTTCAAAACAAACTGAACTACACCTATATTGAAATTAAAAATATTAATTTATCAATATTAATTGGTCAAACTTTTAAATTTTTATCTCTGTACCTTCTTCTGGGATGACAGTCTTATTTAAGAACTCCACATTCTTGAACACAACTGGCAGTTCATTTTGCTCTTTATGCAACATTTCAGCGAAACCTTGCCAAACTAATGTCTGAAAATAAAAGTAATTTTGATTTTTAAATATTATTTTAATTATATCTTTAATTGATTTTGCTAACACGTTTTTTCTTCTTAATATTAATGATATTCAACTATACAATTATAATATAATACCCAATCAATATTTTTAAACATATTCATATCAATTTAACTCACCAAGTAACCAGCGTAAGGTAAAACGGATAAGTCGTCAATTGTATTGTTTTTCAAAAAACTGAATTTATTGGAATTAACATCTACTTTTAATATAATTTCACCGGCATTAGAACATGGCTATAATACGAAAAACAAATTTTTATATGTACAAATTGAATCACGAATACTTTTATAAAGAGTAAAAAATTACCTTGCCATGGAATGTAATAACATCCCATTTAATAGAATGGTCCCATTCGATTAATGATTGAATCATTGGGGTACGTGCGGATACGGGGAATTTCACTGGTGGGTATAGATGTTCAATTTGAGGTTGTAGACCGATATTGAATAAACTAAAATATGAATAAGATTAACAAATAACAAGGCTATAAGTATGCACATTTTTTTCTAGAAATATATTTGATTCACGTACTCTCCTACACTCAACAACAGCTGTTTATACATATCATTATCATCTTTAATCAAGTTTACGTATTTGGCGTCAGCGTTCAAATTGCTTGCAATGTAGTTTTGCGCTCGTTTTTGAGCGAGGATTTGAATGTAAATTGATTTTTCGGGACATTTAGCCAATGAATCCTAATAAAAGATTTAAACTTACCATAAACGATACCATAAACATAATATTATTATGATTTAAATTGTACACATACTTGAACTGATAATTGTGTGGATAAGCTATTGACGAAGTACGTCGATGACACCAATTGGTTCCCTAATGACTGCGAAGCGCTAATCCATCGGGACGAAATGGATTTTGGTTTAGTGATGATCTAAAATATTTATTTTTTTTTTTAAACAATATATTAAAATACCCAGAACATTTTTTTTTAATAATTCAAATCTTTATTGAATACTTTTGTTACCAATAGTTTACAAATTCTAATTTCTATACAATATACAGGGTGATTCTACAAGTCTCTTTTTTATCATGTATACCTTCCTACTATAAATTATTTAACAGATATTTTTTTCCTATAAATGTTGACTACCAAAATTAAAATTAAATGAAAGGTACTTATTTGAAAAATAAATTTGTATCACACAATATTGCAAACATTCTTAAACATTTTAAAATATTTCCACAAGATGGTAAGCATTTGATGTACTTAATGAATTACTGTGTAATTTATATATAAAGTATAAATAATATATAATAATAGAAATATAAGAATACTTTTTTGTTTGAATAATTTAAAATTCAGAAATTATATATAGACCTATTATAACGTTATGAATTATATATAGTCAATACTCACGGATTGTAAAGCGGACTGCAATTGTTTGGATACTTTTGCTACGTTTTGAGAAGATAAGATAGGTCCTAGAAATCAAAATCAAAAATATTAGTTTTAATTTTTTTAATTTACCAAAGACATAAATAATTGCTTACCACTTTGAGACGGAGTGATTTTTGCTTCAGCTAATATATTACCAATAGCATATGCCGATAAAACTGCTTCTTCTGCTGTTAAAACGCCATCTGCGTATGCGGCTGCTAGTTCACTGAAGGATTCTCCGACAATGTAATCTGGCGTTATTTTCAGACTTTCTAGGACGTTCAAGAGAGCAATCTAAAGTCATAAGGGATTGTATTTAAAACAAAAAATTTTCAAATTAGTATAATATTATTAAAAATATACTTGAACAACGGTCGTAGCTACGACGGACAAAATCGGATCACATATTGATACGAGATCTGTATTTCTCAGCACTGTCCGTAAATTGTACCCTTTTTGTTTTAATAAAGCTGCACTCTGCGTTATTGACTCATTGAACACGTCCAAATCTTTTAATTGATTACCAACATCAGACCAGTGGGCCTCCGCACCGGGCAAAACAAAAACGACTGGTTTCTTTTGACCATCAAACTCCTAAAACGCGTAAAAGAGATTTAAATAGAACAAATAACAACAACTATCCATTGGTCTATCATTATCTCACATTGATCTGACGAGTCTTGTCGTACATGCCGTTAAACAAAATGTAACCTCTATATTTGTGGCCAACTATGTTTTCACTATGGACTCCATACAACAAGGCGTAGAACTCTTTGTCTCTGGGCATTTCATCGATCTAACAATAAACAAAGTCTATTTAATAATGCTAAATTTTAAAAAATCTCTAAGAAGATATTTAATAGTATTAAAATATTAATTTTAAATTAAACTTAATGCGTAAATGTTCTATAGTTACAAAACTTATAAGAATGTCCTGAATTTGAAAATATATTTAATAAAAATAGAAAATTTTGAATTTTAATTTCACACTAATTTTACCAATTATACAATAACACTATAAAAATCATACAAACAACAGAATAATTACTCGATTTATCATGTAATTTATAGCGCTTTTATTTCTGGCTGATACTGCCACCAATCTAGGTAATTTCTCTTCCAACACTTGTTTTTCTTTCTTCTGCTGGGTATACGATTTCAACAGACAATGTCCGTTAGCACCACCCACACCGAATGAGTTGACTGCAACGATTCCACCGTTCCACGGGACGACATTTTCTACGACCTTAACAATAATAATAAAACAAATTATATAACAAATCATAACCGAAACGGTTAATAAAAAGTATTGATCGATATGGTTATTATACTAACACTCAATCTTCCGTCTACCAAAGCTGGAATGTCCGGATTTGGTATGTTGTAATGCAAATTAGGTGGCAAAAGTCTACATTCCATGGCCACAAGTACTTTTATGACAGCAGATAGAGCAGAAGCTGGTTCACCATGGCCCATGTTCGATTTGAGAGCGCCTATAAGAAGCGGAGTAGTCCTTCCTTTGCAGAACACTTCGACGATTGCGCCAACTTCTTGACGATCACCCACCTGAAAAATCGCAAATTGTGATCAATCGTTTAAAATAAATATTATTATTATGCGATAAATAAATTAATATTCTTTTATGATTTAACTAATATTCATATTTTACATTCTTATTTCATTGCATTTTTAATTACAATTTTAAAGGAAAAAACTCGCCTTAGTAGCAGATCCGTGAGCTTCCATGAAAGCCAGATCAGTTGATTTAACGCCGACCTCTTCTTGAACTTGTCGAAACAGTGAAATTTGCATTTCTTGCGAAGGGAATGTAATACCCTCGTCTTTGTATCCGTCTGCATTACTTCCAGTGTTCAACACACTGGCGTAGATGCGTTTTGCCGATTTGGCTCTTTGTAACAGCACGGCGACGATTCCCTCTGATCGTACGTATCCATCACCTATTCACATAATTAAAATAAGTAAGTTTCAAAAAATTTAAGTTAATTTTTGGTGGGTTAAATATCATCATATTGTATTTATGATTTCTTCTCACACTCTAACGTAATTATTACAATAGTAAACTATAAAATTTAAATACGGTTAAGAGGTAATTAAATTTTATTTATAACACATAAAAAATATATATATATTATTAAATTAAAGATTTTTATTATTAAAACATTTGAATAAATTATTTCGAATTTGTTTAGAACCTTTAAGTAATAATATTAATAAAAACTTTAAATATGTGGTATAATTAAATGTGTTAAATATTAAATACATTTAATTATAGTAAGAAAATTATTTGCCTACTATTGTCTATTTTTACAGAGCTTTTATTTATATAAAGTTGTATTACAACAGACTGCATTCGTTTTTCTGTTACGATTTATCTGTATAGACGTAATGTATTTCCTTAGCGGTAGCAATATTTCGATATTAAAGAATTCACTATCTATCATCTATCTGTATTAGTAAATAACAATAATACATACTACAAACTATATAACTTTTAGATATGGGTAAAAACTACACAATCATAAATTAAGATAACATAGTACAATGATACCACAGGTTAATATATATATATATATCTTAGTGTCCATGATAAAAACAAGAAAGTATATTATATTGTATAATATATTTATATGTCATGGTTCATGTTAAAAGGAAAACGACAAAAACATAATCATATATTTTATGTCCCATTCAATGTTAGCAAAAATATAATTTATAACTCATTTTCTAGATCCACATTACGTAAAAATACGCTAACGGGTATGCATAATTTATATGTTGTGTATTAAAATCATATCTCATACCTTCGGCGTCAAATGATCGACACTTTCCGCCAGGTGACAACATGTTCAGACATTGGAACATAAGTGATACAGTTGGGTTCAACACTAGATCGACACCGGCCACGATACAGTTATCGCAAACTCCATCTTGAATGAGCTTGAAGCCTTGGTGGAGCGCGATCAAACTGGTAGAAGACGCAGTATCAATGGAATAGCTAGGCCCTGATATTTAAACAATAAAATACAATATTACCGATCGGCTAAATGGTTGTAATTCATGGTAGGTAAGCGTTTATAATTATTTTTTTACTCACCCTTAAGGTCGAAGAAGTTGGACACGCGGTTAGCGCTCATCGTTCTGGAGGTGCCCAAAAATTCATACCCGTTAACAATATCTGGGTCTTTGGACCACCAATCGCACGTTTCACTAGACGATAGAGCCACAACTACACCGGTACGGGTGCCCTTTAAAGCCATTGGATGAAGTCCTAAAAATGTTAAATGTTTTATTTGTATATACTAGATCTTTAGCGGTGTGATAAATGTATTGATTTTACAGTGATATATTTTTTTTATTATTTTTTTTTTTTGTGTTGTTTGTCATTAAGATAGTAAAAATGTTTCAATTTTCAATTTTAAGGGTGGTTTTTAGTAACGAATTATATCTATTAAGTACTTAAGAAAAAAAAAATAAATTCCCAATATTTTATATTTTTTTATCGGAAAAAAACAAAAAAGAAAAAAAGAAAAACGAAGAACTAAAACTCTAATGCACAAAATTAGTTTTTAATAAAATAAGCTTAATTTGTTATGATTCAAAAACGAACGAATAACCGAAGAGTAACTTGAAATTTTCACCAAAGGTTTATAGTATTATACCTAGCTATAGTTTTCAAAATATTTTGACTTTTTTTAAGCTATTTAAATAAAAATTAAATAATTGTATATATAAATATATATATATAGTCAATTAATCTTGAAAATTTAATACATGATCTTACATATAAGAAGTTATTCTTAAATTTGTATAAAAAAATTAAAAATGTATATTCACAACTTATTTCGATATATTATTTGAATTTAGAGTTTATAAAAACAAAATAACAAATCTCACGTATTTGGCTTGAAAATGAATTGAATTTTTTTTTTTTTTTATAAATAATTTATAGTGAAACTAAGAAATCAAAAAAATGTTATAAACATAGTTATTTTTATAGATATTTGAAGTTCAATTTTATATGAAATTACATATTTAAACGACGAAAAATAATGTTCATTTCTTTGTTATAATTTAAAAACATTATTAATGAGATCTTAAAAACTTTTACGTTGTATTAGAAATTTCACTTTAAGCAATTATTACGTTTTTAAAATATTTAGATTAATTTAAGATATAGCCTATTTATACAACTGACTTGTTCACACTATTTTACAGTAAAGTGGTATTGGCTAGAAAGTTAATAAAAATAATATAATACAGTATAACTTATATTTACTATTATTGTAATAATTAAATATTAATAAGAAATAAATGCATAACATACAAAAAAATGTAATTAACCTTCCGTAATAATAGTGGTTTAATAATGACTTAAATAGCTATATAAAAAACATATTATGAAATGCACTTATAGCGGATAAAGATTTCAGACCATCTCAGCTCAGAATCGTTTATCGTATACTCATACAATTGTAATATAATTTATGTTTGAATTAAAATTTAACATATCCATAACTATGACCCACTCGACACCTACTACACATTACAGTGATTTCCACTTCTCCAACTTTTTTAAATTTAATATAAAAGTAATTTTTTTTGTTAAGCTATTTCTTCTTTTTATATATTTAAAAGACATTTTAATTCTTTAAAAACTGAATTATTGAAACCTTCTATTTTAAAATTTTATCTCTTAAAAAATAAATTAAAAATAAATTGATTTGTATAATATTATGCATCATTTAGTTTATCAGCAATACATTATATTTTTATTAACTAATTTGATTTAAATGAATTAATTTTCTTAAAAAAAAAAAGTTTTACTTAGTTTTATAGAAAATACATAATGCTATTTTGATTTATTTTTAATGCACATATGGTTCATCATACAAACAGCTTAAAGTGGTTGTATAATAATATTTATCAGATTCAATGACATAATATGCAAAGTGGTTTTTTCATCACGAACCAGGCAATAATCTCAGGTATGTAACTATTTATTTATTTTTTTAATTTACAAATTATATTTTATTTATTTTTTTTTTTTTTTATAGTATTAATATTTTTATTACCTAGCTTTTTTTGATTAAATGATGTCAACTTTTAATTTTCAGATGATAACACCTATTTTTAATTACACCTAATAAAAATAAAATTTAACATGTAATTCATTTGTGACTTATGGCCTTATAAATATATGGTTATAGATGTGATTTTTTTAACATTTTGCTACTAAACGATTATGAAACGTACCCGCCTGATACGTACACGATATCAATCCATGTTATAGTATAATATATATATTATGCATAATGTTAATAGTTTTAAACGAAAAATCATCAAAACCATAAAACCATAAATTAAACAAATTAAAAAAAAAAACAAAAATAATTTAGCCGAAAGTTTTTATACCATAATATTAAGTATCTACCTTGTTATATTTATTTAAAAACTGTAATTTATAATTAATTATTATATTTACCATTGTGTCAAGTATAAAAATATGCATTAAATCTTAAGGTGGTAAAAAAAAAATTGATTAACAATTTGGTAGTACCTACTATTTACTTTATTTAATTATATAATATGTTTTATAAATCATTAAAATATAATCAGTTCAATACGGGTTTATATAATAACACAAAAAAATTTCAAACCCTATATACAAATCAACAAACAATTTTGAAACAAACTTTCCTGATCTAATCGTTAAGAGACTTAAAAATGTTTTGTATATCATATGTAATTTTATTATTTTTATTAAACTTTATTTATCGCTTAAATCACATTATTTATTATTATTATTTATTTTTTTTTTTATTGTGTTATATGACAACTAACCTGCGTCAACGATTGCTTCATAAGCAACTTCTAACAGCATTCTCTGTTGCGGGTCACTACGTGCAGCTAAAGCAGGAGGGTAGTTAAAAAATTCAGCGTCAAATTGGGTTAGGTCCTTCATTTTTCCAGTTCTCATGATAGCGCCATATAGACCTAGAAAATATATAAAACTCGTACAGAGATTATCAAACGAAATTATACATGTTTTTATAAAAAAGGTGTTGGGAAAAATATTTTATTTTATGATAAAATTTTAAAAAACTTATAGCTATTAATTGTTGTTTAAAACTTAATGAAAAATGAATCTTTTTTTCTGAAATTATAAATATGTATTTAAATTAAATATTTTATTAATTTCTACATGACCAAATAATCGTACATTGAACAATACAATTTCATATTTTAAAGAAAAAAAAATTATGATATGAAATAAATTATTGGCTTAATGCTAATGTAAATTAACTTTTAGTTTAGTGAAATTGGTTTGTTAGATATTTAATTGAATAGAAGTGAAATCATTTGTGCTTAGCAAAAACAAAATGTTGTGATTGTAATTCTCAGCCTTGCAGTAATATAACATTATGTTATACGCAAGTTTAGTGAGTATTTAAAAATAACTTAACGACCAAAACATGACTAAAATATTATTTTACACGATTCGTTAATAAATTTGTTCGTTCTTAAAAAAAATTTCGTCGACACTGGTCAGCTCGTTTAATATGCCGTGTAAATCAAAATCAATATATTTACATAAAACTGATTGTACATAGATATAATGAGTATAGTACAAGTGCAACACCAGCTTACCAGTGGGCCATCTTGTGGGTTCCGCGTTGACCATGTCCTCGCCTGCGTACAACTTCTGCCTCATCTCGTCGATGCTGTCGCATTCGGGAAACCGTCCGGAAAGGCCGGTTACGACGATGTCTTCAGGCTGAAAGCCAAACTCGTCGGACTGCACATCGAATTTGACAGTGACCGGGGTCGGTACAGTCTCTGATTCGTGGGCGTTTGGTGCCATCGTGTCGAGGGCGAAAAACAAAATTGACAGGTATCTGGATCAAATTGATTTATCGTTATATTGGTGTGTGTAAAAATGTGTGTTTCCGAATCAGACAATAATATTAATAACGTTTTAATGTTATCGTCGTCGACACGGATGCACAGGAATAAGACGTGTCGTCATTTGCAGTCCCGTTTAAATACTCTGATCCATATCTATTTTGAATAGTTTTTTTTTTATTATCTAGTCACCGGTACATTGAATTTTTTTCCTCTTACGCCAAACTCGAAATGTTACGCAAACGGTATTAGATAACTTATGAAAAAATTACGGTACTGGGTTATTCTTATTTAATTTTATCAATCCCTTGATGACTTTTACTTTAAATAACTGTTGTATGACCATAGAGGTCGTAAGGCGAAGATCTTAGTTTTTTTTTACAAAACGTTGTTAGATAATACTATGTTCATGATAATATTAAATTATAATTATTATTATCATAACAGATAATACAACATCTAAAATAAATAAAAATGTATAGTAAATTAAGTGTTGAAAAAATTTAAAATATTTAAAATCAATTTCTTACCAAAGTGAAATGCTTTTTAGTTTTTTTGATTATTCTATTTTGTCAACTACAATTATTAAATTCAATTTGCTCAAAAATAATATGATAAAATATCTGTCAGTGTCAAATTTTAATACGAAATACTATATCTAATTTTTGTTTGCAATAACATAAAATTATATCTTTTTAATATAATTATATTACAAAATACAAATAATGCATATTGGATAGTAATAAATAATAATATATCTTGTTTCAATAAAAAACCCTCTATTTCAAAATCTTTTATAGTTTTTGATATTGTTTTTACATAATTGAAAGTTTTTACAAAACATTTTTAGAAAAAAATTATATTTTTCACAACGTTTTGTTATTTTCACATTATTATTTTTAAATTTTATATTTTTTTGAATGATAATATATATTTTTAATTTCATATTTAGAATATTATTTTTACATTATGTTCTATGATCTTAAGCAAAAATTCCGTTAGCCTATACTACAACTATATTTTATGATATATTTATATTGATAGTATAGTAATTAATTTTATTATTAATTTTACACAATGAAGTTAAATTAATTTTTACTACTATTGCATTAATTATATTATTTACATTAAACACTTTAATGAATCAAGAAATACAATTTAATAACAATAATACGAGTATATAGGTGATATAAAAATATACTATTATAATTATTTATACCAATTTGGGCAATTTTCCTTGGAATTTGACTTAGTAATATTAACATGCAATAATATAAAATTAATCTAAATGTTTTAATAATGTCATTATGTATAAAAAATATAATAACACATTATATAAAAGTTTCAAATACTCACGAAAAATATTTTCGAATTACAACAAAATATTTTATCTATTCAGTCACGATATCGTGTTTGGATATAGTTTTAAGAAAAATATTTCCAAAAAAAAATTATCTTTACATCTGCATTATCTTTATCGATTAATAATAGCCACTTGTAAGAATAATGAGGATCGACAATACTGATCCACCTCACTCTTTTAATTAATTTACTGTATCTTATATATATATATATATATTGTTTGTTGTCTATTATTAATTTTTACTATTTACTGTTTCTTATTGTTCTAATATATTTTTATATGCTAATATGTCATGTATTTAAATGCTGCTTGTAATACAACCACTGGACTACCAGCCCGAGCTTTCAATAAATAATTTCTATTAACAAACTGTACGAATAAAAATTTAATCATATTTAGATTATATTTTATTGTACAAACAATTGAAAATCAATATCTTTTTTAAACATGACGGCGATTGTAATTTCACATCATAAAGTATTATTCATATTATGAGCGGGATCATATTGATAATGAAATTTTCAGCTATTATCTATGTAATAATAATACTTATTTATAACATAATTTAATATATATTTTTAACTACGATTACGTACTTCATTTTTTTTTTATTATTTAATATGACTTAAATATTTATAAATATTATTGTGTAAGTTATAACGTACTTAACATATAAATACGACTTAAATAAATATATCATAAAAAAAAAAATTGTGTATTGTATTAAATATAATATAAATAATGTTGATATATTGTCGTATATTTTATTAAATGCAAAACGACGTTTCTATTTCATAAAATGAGTTATATTATTAACTGTCTGCTTAATAAATTACACACTCGTGTGTATATATATATATGTGTGTGTGTTTATATATACATAATTCATATTTTTTATGTTGTCTTTAATAAATTGAATGCAATTAATAATTTATAAAAAATATATTAAATATATTATATAATAACTTAAAACATCATTTATACACAAAGTTCTTATTATAATAATAATTTTTACGTTTATATATAATAAATTATTATATGTATATAAAACAAAATATAGTAAATATAGCTTCAAGATGTGTCTAGCTTTAAACTTTTATATAATTGCATACATTGCATACAATAAACGTATATATTATAAGTATGTAAATCACAAATAAGTTATCTTATGATATTCAGTCTTAAAAATATCCGTATAGTGGCTATAATAAATGGAGACAAAAATAATGTCGAAATGACAGAAACACAGTGTAACGTGACGTTAAGGGTGATAACTGTCTACTCTTTCGGGAGTTCGGGAGTATCTTATTGGCAGCATGGTAAAGGTAGTGAAATAGCGACAATAAGGGAAGAGGGACCTACAAGGTAATTGGCAGTATCATAAAGTGGTTAAACAGAAATTACGGTGAATTGACGTTTAACCTTTTCCAGATGTTGGTGTAGCATAGCTGTAGTAATGCTGATAAATACTAACCTAACACTGGAGTCGCACCAAACATGTCATCGAAGAACAACTTAGATACAATTTATAAATACGTGGTTACAATCAGGAAGATGAAGAAAAAAGAAAAGAAAAACCACTAGAGAGATTGATTTCAAATACGATTTGGAAATATTGAAGACTAACAACATTATTATTATTATTGTTTATTGAATTAGTTGTATACTAAAGCTACTTAAACTTAAAAACAAAAGTATCAGCGATAGAGACTTTCATTTATTTGTAAATAACGCAAGATAATGCATAGTGTAAAGTAGGTATTATAATATAACATGGTTTGATTTGACGTGATAGCTGAGGATGAAATGACCAACGCAAATACGAGTACCACCATTATAGTCACCGACAATATTGTAAAAAAAAAAGAAAAGCTAACCTTAGAGGTTATATTTATTAAATAAAAATGTTTATAAGTATTCTAGTAACATACTAATTATGATACTAAAAAATTTACAAATCACAACGATCGAAGATTTTGTTATTAGATATTAGTCATTGTTATTATACAATAATAATTTAATGAATTTAAAATATCTATTAATATTATGACTTGTTATAATAAAAAACGAACTCAAAATCAGTGTAGCTAAATTTCTTACATGAAAATCCATTAGATAGGTAGTGATAATTATTATATATTTTTTTGACTGAAAAAAATTGTGCATAAATGGATATATTGACATATTGACATTTTATCAAATTATGATTTATGAGATATTGTAGTTTAATCGTTATATCGAAAAGCACATTTGACAAAGTCATTATATTATACATACAAAATTATAAACGCGTATGAAATAAAATGCTGAGAGAATTGTATTTTAAATGTTAAACATATTTTGAGTCACCAATTATCTTTTTGCCAGAACTTGTATAATATGTACTTACATGTTTAATTAATTAACATTATTGTTATTTACGTTTAAAAAAAAAAAAAGTTTACAAAACGGTGATAGATACATCATTTTAATTTTTAATCATATCTTAAAATTAGTTAATATATTATAATATGTACATGTATACAAAAAACGCAGTTGGTTAAGTTAGGTTTAAGCAAAATACATTTTTTATACAATTCAATTTACAGTTCAATTTTTTTTTTCAATTAGTATTGACCAATTTATTATTATTCATTTGCTTGTTATGAACACAAATTATTTCTACAATATTGTTATAGTATTTGTCAATGAATAAAAATTCAAATAATAAATATATTCTCTGCATAGTACATGGCGTTTTTATTTTTTATAATAATAAAGAAGTAATTTTAACAAGAATTTGATTAAAATATGTTTTTGATTTTTATTTAGATAGTATACATTTAACGTATTTTTTTTATTTTATAATTTTAAAGCGTATTTTTCAATGCTTAAGACGAATAAATAACTGCTTAAGTAACTAACCGCTAAACTTAATAATAATAACGATGAAGAGTATACATATCCCCTTGGTTATTTTTAATATTTTTATTTTATATAAACTCCAGTTTTAAATTTTGTAAATTTAAATTCTTATAAATTCTTTCTTTGTACAATACTATTTCTTACATTAATGACTGCATTTTATTTCAAGAAGATTTAAAAAGACTATCCATATGGTGTACTAATAATTATCTAAACCTAAATGCTTTAAAGTCTCATTTCATAGAAATAAATCTTAAATTACATTTAAATATTTTATTGATAAAAATACGTTGCCTAACTATATGATAATTTAAAGTATCTTGGCGTCACATTTCAAATAAACCTTCAATTTTCTACCCATATTGATTAGATTAGTCTTAAAGCTATATTAAGATTCTTGGATTTTTATATAGGTCTATAAAATGGTTGGATGTTATAAACTGTCTCAGGGTTCTTTTTTGTACCTTGGTACGTTTTATTTTGAAATATGGACCCATTATATGGAATCCTATTACGATATCTTTTGTAGAAAAGCAGAACGTGTACCTATGAAGGAAATTTTTTCATTTTATAGAATACAAAATAAAGTCAACAAAGACTATTGATGACACTTTAGTTCAGAACTTAAAATTAAATTTAAAACTTAATTCTCTTTTAGCCTATCACAAGATATCGAATATCCTTCTTATATAAATTAGTTAATTGTATCACCTCTTGCCCACCACTTCATGAATTTATTTCGTTTCACGCACTGCAATAAAATACTCGTTTATACCCAACATTCCATTTTAAAATGCAACGCTCAAACTTCGGACAAAGTATGATGGAATCCTGTCATTAGGAAATATTCATTTATTTCCATCTTTTATATAAGTCTTATTTTTACTTTTTTTTCAATAATTTGTCAGATCTAAAATTGCATTATTTAAATCACTAATATATCTAAATAATAATAATGAAATTTTACTTGTTATTTTTTATCTTATGTAACATGTCTGTATACGTCTACCTTGCTTTTAAACTTATTTTTGCAATACGTAATTTTGTTAAATATATTGTTACAAATCTGTACTTGTGCAGAACTTTATTTAAAAATAAATAAAGTGCAGACGTTTATTTAAAAATAAATAAATAAATAAAAATGAATTTGAGTATTATACTTATATCACTAGCAAACTTATCTTCAGCATCTTATCTTTCAAAATGTCTGTAAAATATATTTTGATTTGTATTTTAAGACTCAATTATAATTATTATTGTACTCGTAATGGGGCTATAATAATTAAAATGGTAATAAAAAAAAACGTAATTTCTATTACTAATTTGCATTTGGTTTATTTAAAAGTTTATAGCATTACACAGGCGGCTCAAGTAAATAAAGTACAATTAATAAAATCCAAGTCTAACAACACTATAGTTATATTATATGCACTGTATTTCAGGCAAGTAATTCGATGAACTTAGCTCGGAGAGCTGGGAACGTCATTTTTCTCAGTTCTTCTACTTCGATGTTTATGTTGGCTTGTTGTCTGATGGCTTCTTGGATGCGTGGTGCGATTAACGTGTCCAGACCGAGTTGAGCGAGATTATAGGTTTGTTCAATGTCGGATAGCTTCTTGAAACCTGTGGACGAAATACAACATAAATATAATAATATGATAGATTAATGCATAGTTCAAGATAGATAATCAATTTATTATCCGCTTGAACCAAAATCAATCATTTTTTAAATTTTTACAAAAACAAGCAGGGTTTTAAAATCAATATTAATTGAACTTGGATTTTCAGTTTTGAATTTTTCACATGATTTCTGTTTTTAGTACCATATTCTAATATCAATTATTATAACTTAAATATTAAAAAAATATATTTAAAATTATTAAAATAATTTAAAATTTTGTTTTTCTTTTAAATACATTTATTATTAATTATCGAATTTTATTTACTTCCTCTAAATTCTTTGTGAAATATGTTGAAATATTTTAGTGATACTAATATTAGTATTTAATAACAATAATATATACAACAATGCGTATGATCAGTGGCTTGAGGACAATTTTAATGAAACAATGCATTTGTATTAGTGGTTCCAAAATATTCAGTTATTAAAGCTAATACTGATACTTCGTGTTAGTTCATTATAAATTTTAAATAAAGTAATTTATTGTTTAAGTTAATATAAACGAACTATAAACTAAAATGTTTGTTTACCCCGATAGTTGAAACTTTATCAAGATACCTGGTTTACATAATGTTCTTAGATCAAATTGTATGTGTAACTAGCAACTACTGAAATGAATTATCGGTTTTAACCTGTTATTATTGAATTTTCAAATTCAAATTTTGTCGAGTACAAGTATTTAACAATAACTTAATTTTCCGTTATTTCAGGTATTAAAGTTGTGACCGTTTTGAGCATTGTTTTTGGGACGTCGGGTTGTTCATATTTAAATCCTTTAAAATAAACTATAAAATATTACCGAAAATCCTGGCAATTGTCGACAACAATGGAGTCGCAGCATCTAATTCTTCAGAATTCGGACCGTTGAATTTCGAGTACGACACGACAGTTGAGTTTAGTGGCTGTTTAACGATTTCATCTAAAACGTTCAACGCTGAAACGATCGACGATGGTTTGAAGTTTGGACTGTTGAACGCGTTCGAACTACCTTCGATCGCGCCGTATTCTATGACCGCCTAAAAACAAAAAAGCAATGTTCGTAAAAATATTTATTTTTTTTTTAAATCTATCAAACCAAAAACGAAAAATATCATATTTTATAGTCAGTAACACTCACTGTCGGGTAGCCCGAAATTTTACGGACTTCAGCAACTCTAAATACATCTGCGTTTGCAAAAACGTAGTCGGATTTGGCTTTAGCTCCTCTTGATGCGACGGCCGGAGCAAGTACAACAAATGATTCAAGTTGGGGAATTAATCTCCTACTCAATGTGTCCAAATTAGCAACTGCTTCGGATACGGCCTTTTTCGTCGCTGCGAAATCCTTTTCGCTCAGCGATTGCAAGTATTTGGTCTCCGGAGCCTGTCCACGTACACGTAGAATTACTTTTACAATTACGGAGATATTTCCAATCGTACCTAATGTTTAAAAATTCAAAAAGTACTCACAGTGGTTATGTAGAAAATACCACAGACTGTTCCGAGGGAAACAGCTTCTTTAAGTACGTCTTCAGCGCCTTTCACTGTTGACGGGTCAGCAAATGACAGGATTACGTTAACGTTCTTGTTCTTCAATCGTTTCAAGGTGAGGGTCTTGTATCCGGACTGAGGTTTGTTGTTCATTTTCGACACTAAAACAAATTTGCGGGCTCCTCTGTGTGCTAGATGTTGGATCAATTCCAAGCTCAAACTGTCTTCGTCACCTACATGATGACAACAATATAAAAAAATGTTAAAAGTTAAAATGTTTTCTTTCCATTTAAAAAAAAAAAAACATTAAACCGTTAAGGACCATAAAAAAACTCACCACTAACGACAAAAACTTTTTCGGGTGTGTAGAACAATTTGGGGGACGCAGCAACGGTTATCTTGGTTGAAGGTACGTTCACCTTATCTTCTTCTTCACGGATTTTAATTACAATTCTTCCCAAATTGTTGCTGCAATTTGCATTATACTTAAACGCTTCGGCTACCTGACTTGCAGGGAAAACGACGGTTTCAAGCGGTTGTACTTTGTTGTTTCGGATGCCTTGTTCTACCAGTCTTTGGATATATTGAATTTCAGATGGTGAAAATTGAATGGTACTGAACGAAATCTTGCTATATGTTATGCTCTTCAGGTTTCCAGACACCCCCAATGAATCGGATATAGGTGCGAAAACTTCGAAGTCCACCAGGCGACCGTACTCGGCCAACGAATTAACGAATTCTTGCCGTTTGTCGTACGCAGAATAAGTATCGAAAATCAGATCGACTCCTTGGCCTTCCGTCTGCTCCAATAAATGTTGCTCAAAACTACCACTGGCCAGGTCGGCAAAACTGGCATTGTTCAACTGTACGATCGCACAATTAAAAAAAAAATAATAATAATATAAAATCAATGGCAAATTTAGGAGATTTGGTACCCTTAATTTTTGTATTATTTTTCAAACCAAAAAAAATATATAGGTATATTTATGTAATATGTAATACTTGGGCTACATTTTTACGCTTTAAAAATGAGTATACAGCTTAAAAATATTAATAATCATTATTATATTATTGTATTTTCTATGAACATTTTTAAATATTGTTTTCATATTCATATGATCAATTTTTTTTTTCTTAATAAGCTACTAAGCCCCCGTGCCGCATTGCCAACCTCTACCTAAATCTAGCACTAAAAACAATACCATTTGATATAATAGGAAATATTCTTTAAGACATACTTGCGGGAATCTTGTTTTCAAGTACTCTACTTGATCCTTATTGAATACTCCTACGTACGGGATGGCTCCCAGCTCGAGAGCCACGGAGATAGCGGCTGTGCTTATCCCACTAGCGCCAGCGTGCACGTACACGGATTCACCTGATTGGACGTTTCCTCGAACGACTAACGCATAGTAGGCCTAAACGAAATAAACGAAGTCGTTACGTAAAACTTAATAAAAACTAAAATGATAATAATCGAAAAACATCGCTGCAATACTTACAAGGCTGTAAGTTCTCGGTACGGTACAAGCTGCTTCCATGGACCATGAGTCAGGCACTTCCCAGACGAGATCTTTACGTGCTAAGACTGACGTGGCCAAAGCCCCACCGGACACCAAACCGATTACTTTCTTACCATTGGCATTACGTCCAGCGAACTCCATGCCGAGGTAGCTACCCTGAAATAATTCAATGTAATGTTAACATCAGCGAAATCTAGTCTTGTATCGATATTACACATGTGTACGAGAATGTGACGATTAGTTATTGCAATGCGACCTCTTACTTGTTGTGCTATATCTTCGGAAATTCCGTTACTCTGAATTGTGCCTTTTACCATTTTGACGTCCAAACCATTGAGAGGAACGCAATACGGGTAATATAAATCATAATCCGGATTTTCTTTAGGGCTGACGAGTAATAAAATATAACTTATTAGTAACTCAAGTAAAATATTTTACATTATATAATTCAAATACTTTATATATAATTATAATACATAATATAAATAATGAATATTCAGATACTTATAAAAAATAGCAATTCACGTTTGCAAATACTTTGGAATAACGGTAACAAACATTCGGAACATTAAATAACGAGCATTCTGACTATTCTTTTTAAAATACATTTTCATTTAATTATATTACCATATGAATTTAACACATTTATAAAATTAAAGTATAAGTTGTAAATTGTATTCTTTGGTAAGTTTAATACTTGAATAATTTTTTTTATTAGAGAAATTTTGTTATAATATGACTCAATTCGTAATGATGTCGATGTTTTTTTTTTTTTTATATAGCCTGCAAATGTTTTAGGATAAAAGCTTTGAATATATATGTATACAGTAAAACTTGCTTAAGATCCTTCCACTTAAAACACTTTTCCGTATAAGACGCTTTCCCGCTTAAAACGTTCTAAATAACGGGTCCCTTAAAAAACGTCTTAAGCGAGTTTTACTGTATATTCAAACCAATATCTTATAGTTTATATATGCTCAGCTTTAATTAATTTAAATGAAGTATAAAATATTTTATAATTGGTTATTCAGATAATTTTTATAATGTATTGTGTTGAAGAACTTGCTTATTAAAATTAATATAAATAAATAAATATAATATATATGATTCTTTTAAATAAAAGTTTATGAATAATATGAAAATATTCTTGTTTCAGTGACAGTACTAAAAATTATACAAATATTTACATTTTTTTTTTTTTTTTTTTTATCAAGATATAAATACTTCTGGAAAGTTTTCTAATTATACTAATTAATAGTATTTTATAAGTATAGTTAGTTTCTGAATAGATAAATATAGAACAAATTTAATTTAAAGTAATATAAAAAACTATATACATAATAATATATATATATATATATGTATATGTATAAAAACTCACTTGAAAGTTGATAGTTTTCCTTCTATATATTGTAAACTATTAACATCACCAGCTTTTGTGGTGTTTATGTAAGCATGTTCTACCTGAACTTTAGTTTTTTTGTACGGAACGAACGCGCATGTTCCCCAAACACCGCCCAAAAGCATGTTGACAGCTAGTCCTTTCCTAAGTTGTTCTTGATATAACGGAAGTGACACGGAAAACAAGGGTGCTTTGTTGTCTTTAATTGACACACATCTAACAATAATATAATAATATGATCACAACTATTATTTATTGCGGTCATGCGATTTTAATAATTTAAGCTGATATTAACGCGCAATTTCGACGTACTTGACAAATTTTCCATTTGGTTCTTGTCTCAAACCCTTTGTTAAACCTATAACTCCAGTGTTTTCCAAATTTTGACTGATCAAAAAGACATCTCGATTGTCATTTTTAGCGTTTTGAATGTTCTGTTTCAACAACTCGACCCAGGAGAATGAATTTCCAACAGTTAGTACAACTGGAGTGGGTGCGTCGGTATTCTAAAATTAAAAAAAAAAAAAACCATAATTGTTAATAGGTTTGTATCGATCAAAGCATTACACATGTGCATGAAATTACTTTTTTAAACAAAATATATAAATTTTGACCATCTGTATATTTTGCGACTACGTCTAATCCAACTTGTCTGAATTTTGAATCAAATTGATGTTCTATGGATAGCAAGAAACCTCCGTTTTGAACACCCGATAGTACGTTGTTCAGTAATTGTTTATTCTCAATTGCGCCGTTTGCTACGACGAAGAACGATTGTTTTTCCAAATCACTTGATGTCAAGTCTTGTTCATAATAAGTTATGAATTCCTCGGATTGGTATGGACTTACGTCTTTGGCATACACGTGAGCGTTGATCTACAACAAAATATACAAATTCATATGGGTTATGACATAAATAAAAAATTAAAAAAAGGTTTGGTATTATTTTATTTCAATAAATTGCTTTTACGTAGAACGAAGATTTTGCGTTGATAAGACTTAAAATTTTCGGAACTAAATGTTCTTGTTGTGATGAGGTTAATACTTCTGACACCTCAAAAGGTTCATAAGCATTTTCCAATACAATTTGTACGATATTCTTGAGTGGTTCATCAACTACCTGGTAAAATGTATAAAAAAAATTAATAATAAATGACTAAAAACAAATTTTAACTGAGAGAACAATAGTAATGAATTGTCTACGTACTTCGTCCGATACAAATGGCAAAAATACATAAGACTCTAAATCAAAGTCTTGTTGTAATTCTTTTCGGATGGGAACCAATGTAGACCTGATATCTCTAATCTCAACTCCGGCAGATTTAATCACGCCGATGTTTTCGTAAATACTGAATGACGTACCTGTTAACAAATAAACTCGTGTTATCATTGCATTTCGAAACAGTGCATTAACAACGATGTTTTGATTAATTGTTAATATTACTATTAGAAGACACAGATGCATGTTGTTTTTCTGGATAAATGCTTAACTTGAACAAGTATTTAATGGCGTAGTGATCTCTTGTGTCGAGTTTCAACAAGTGCAGTTGCAACAGTGATTCGATAAATGGTGCCCATTTTCCATCGAAAACGATACGTCCACAATTACCTATAACAATAATAATAATAATATTAATATTACATTACCATTGTATGAATAAGCTAATTATTAAATATTTCTTTATACCGTTGTCATTGGCCAAATTGATGCCTTGGAAACTTTTGCTATACTTATAACCTTTGCATGCAAGCTCTTGATAAACATCAGCGGTCGACAACTGGTCAACTTCGTATGATTTAATCTCTGGTAATTGTACTTGTTCATCGGATGTTTGAATATGAATGAAACCTGACACTACAACGGAATTGCTTTCTCTAATTTCAAATTCTCCACTACTCTCCAAAATGTTGATAGTAAAACAGAATTTTCCTAAAAGAAAAAAAATTTAAAATAACGTACAATTTAATCTATAATTATCAAAACTTGTTATATATAATAAACTTACCACTTTCTGGGATAGGTAATACTTTAAAGAATTGAACGTTATCGAACACAACAGGGACTTTTCCAGAAAACGACCGTTGTAATTTAGCAAAAGCGTCCCACACGAATGTCTAAAAAAACGTAAATATTGTTCAATATTAAATAAACCTCATATATTTCTTACATAATAAATGAATATTTTCAATTTTAATTCAATGAAAGAAAAAAATTAGTTGTTATTTTTACATTAAAAAATAATGCATTTATATATTTTTCAGTGTACCACATTTAATATTAATTTACCTATATGCATTGTATTGATTTCAAAATAAATTTAAAAAATCAAAAATATTTAAGTGTTAAACTACATAACAATTAACTTACGAGGTATGACGCGTACGGAAGGACTTCAACACCATCGATGTATGTTCCCCTGAGGTAGTTGTACCTTTCGCTATCGGTATCCACATTTAATATAACTTCACCCGATGATTTAACTTCGTTGTCGATAAAAGTGATCACTTCCCAATCGTCGGCATGATCCCATTCGACCAAATTCTGCAGCGATGGTGTGCCCTTGGATACGGGATAGTTAATTTGCGGGTACAGATTTTCTATTTTCGGATGCAATCCGGCGTTGTACAGATTTCCAATACTGGACAACAAATTCACTACCGTCGAATGATTTCTTCGCACCAGACCTACGTGCGTACATTTGGAACCGACACTCGGTTTCAGTATGGCTTGGAGGAGCGCGTGTGGAGCGATTTCAATGACCACAGAGTTGTCGGGTATGTGTTTCAACGCACTCTGAAACATGTTTAAAAATATAATATATATATGTATATTTAACGATCATTACGATTTTGATTTTTGCAATTTTCGCACTCACGTTGAACAAAACTGGAGATACTAAATTGTTTACGTGGTATGCCACAGATGAATATTGTGCCAACGGTTCGTCCCACCTGGATTCTGGAATAGACGTACTGATCCACTTAACTGACCTCATTATCGGTTTTGAAATAATCTGTTTTGTAATATATTGCGTTTATAAAATATTTAATCGTTTTAAATAGCTCCTTTTTTTTTTTTTTTTTGTTATTCAAACTATAAATTAACATACTCCTGCAACTTTTTCCTTAAATAATGGTCCTGCGGCAGCAATGTACCACGAATGGAATGCGATTCCAGAACTGTTGACTTCTCTTGCAAACACACCTTCAGATTTCAATTGGTCCACAAATTTTGCGATTGAATCCGGTGGTCCAGAAATCGTGACACCGTCTTCGCTGTTATGGCAAGCCACTGCGATGTCAGAAGGAACTCGAGCATTGGCCTCCTCCCAAGATAAACCTTAAATTTAACAAAATATTAATTAATTAAAAATGACACGTTTGTAAAAACAACTATGTTAATTTGAGCAGTGTGCACTAAAAAATGGATAAATTTAATATACATAACATTTTAAACTTTAAAATTAAAAAATATTCAAAAACTTCAATTTATAGTTTTTAAACGTGTAAAACTGAACTAAGTAAATGTGTTTAAATAAAATTATAAAATATAAATAAATCACTGAAAAAATGCTTAAAATAAAATGTTATTAATATCGCATAATATGTCGCTAATAATACTTTAAGCCTATTTTTCTGATTTTATTTGTTGATTCGTCGATCAGTAATTATTTTATTTAAGACTAATTTTTCTTCCGAAATAAAAATCAAATTATAATTGGAATTAACGTTTATAAAAAAAAAAAAAAAAAAAGGTATACGGATACTGATATTAATTACCGTGATCCAAAAAACCCAATACATTATTAAACAAAATAAATGATGAAAAAAATTGTTTGTACATGTTTAATAGCAATAATGTAAAACAAATTTCAACCAAAATCAATTTCTTTTTCCATGTAACAAAAGATAAACACGCTAACACATTAAAATCACAACTTTTTAATGACATGAACATTTATTATTATTTTATTAAAGCACTAATTACGCATTATTTACCTTTTACCTAGTTTACTATTTGTTTTGTATACGTGTTATCAATAAAAGTTACTATTTAAAAAACGTTTCTACACACAAAACTAGAAAACTTCTAAGTTGAATAATGACATACCGACTGCCGCCATAGCTCCAGGGGCCAAGTTTAGATCTAAAAGACTGCGACCTCTCCAGTAGGCGACGATAATGGTCTGTTCAGCTGTCAACGTTCCGTCAGCATATGCGCAAGCCAATTCTCCAACCGAGTGTCCCACGATTCCGTCGGGTGTGATACCGACAGTGGTGAGCACATCGACCAAAGCGATCTATTGAAAGAAAACATTAATTAATCGCGTGGTCACGCGTTATGTAAAAATAAATCTACAAACTATAGAGGATAGTATAAATCTTGCCGTTAATACAAAATATAGCAACAAATAACATAAATAACAATTTCCGATTAACAAACGTCTATAGGTCCAATAAATCCAATAGTAATTTCGTCCAATATCGATTCCCATTTCAACGGGATATATCGTCTGACATATGTTTAGTTCGTCCAATCAGTATCAATAAAATATCTCAAGTCAATTCGTTATATAATATTTACATTTTCCATAATACGAATCGTACAACACACGGCTTATGTGGAACAAGTATTTAAATTTTCAAGTTAAAATCACATTTACCTTAATGGTATTTTTAATATTGCATTTTATAATATAGGTACTTTCTACGTAAACGCATTAAGTTTTTGGACGAAATCATGGTTGGACCTATGACATCGAATCTAATATATTGAAACCTTCGTACCTGTATGGCAGCGATTCCGACAAACGAATTCAATACGTTGTCAAAGATTGTCTTGTCGTTTGAGTTGAAAATAGCGTAAAGGTCTAACCCAAGATTTTTCAGCGTATTGGCGCTCTTGTCGATCGACTCACGGAACGGTGGCAGAGCCAACAGGTCGCGGCCCATGCCAGTCCATTGACTTCCCATACCGGAGAATACGTACCACACTTGGCGTTTGCCCACTCCAAGGACCTGATGACAGAATCGACGGTCGTTTTTAATTTTTATTAACACACAACCTATACGTACCCGACCACAGCCATTGTCGGCGCAATCAAAATAGTAATGATAACGATTTACTCACCGCTGTTTCGCGGGCATCTTTCTCATCGAGAATGCTGTACCCCCTGTAAATGTGGCCCGGAATGTTTTGACTATGAACTCCGTACAATAGACCGTAAAACTCGGGATCTCTGGGCATGCCTTCGACCTATGATAGCAAAAATTAATTTGATCATAAATTCTATCGAAAAAATATTATCGATCGGTTCGAGACTTGTAGTGCCGAAAATCATTCAGATACGCGCTTACCAGAGTTGTGCAAAATTTTATCTAGATAATTATTCGAATAAAATATTATTTGAATAAATTTCAAAGATAGTTATTCGAATAATTTTCGGTTTTTATTTATTTATTTACATTTTTGTAATGATTACATGAATAACTTTCTTTGAAATTTAGTCGAATAGTTTTTTTAATCGAACAACTGTAAAAAAATCATTTGAATAAAATGTTATCTAAATAATCAACTAGATAAAATTGCATTCAAATAACGCCCTACTCTGACGTTTCAGATTTTTACACCGATTAATATTTAATAAATTGTGAAGCATCTTTTGTTAAACAACAATCCTCGTTTCATATGATCTGAACAAATTTATGCATCGCGATCACTATAAAGCCCCGAACATCGAGTTTAAGTACAACTGTACAAAATTCTCACCGTATTTAACAGATAATTGATCGCACTTTCGGTTCTCGCAGATCCAACCACCAAGCGGGGAATGGAATCCTGGGGTTTTGGTTGCTTTTGCTTCTCGTTGGCCTTTAGCAAAGCGTGAGCATTATGTCCACCGACACCTACTGCGTTCACGGCTGCGTACTTTCCTTTCCACGGCAAAGATTTGTTGACGACAAGCAACCGACCGTCTTTCAAGGCCGGAACCCGAGGATTTGGGGCCTTGTAGTGAAGCGTCGGTGGAATTTCTTGACGTTCCATGGCCAACACGGTTTTTACGATACCGCAAATTCCGGAAGCCGGTTCACTATCACCCATGTTCGATTTCACGGATCCGATCAACAGTGGTTTGGTGCGATCTTTGCAGTACACTTCAGTGACAGCATTGAGTTCTTGAGCATCGCCTAACTAAAATGTCAACAAAAACAAAATGTGCATCAGCTTTCAGTCTCTCGCAAGTTAATGATTTGAAACTATACACGCATTATATTACATTTTAGCAGCAAGTAAATATGTCGATTACCAGAACAATTATTATAGTACCTTACAACACTATTTCGTAACGTAGTATGTGTTTTTAATTTTTTTAAATAATCGGTTTATTTTAGAAATCGCATTTAAAAACATCGTGAACAAATCAAAAAGCTCTAATTATTGTAAAATATTTTAATAAATGTATTATTATCCCAAGTAAAAGTCAGAATTATGTCGTCCGTTTAAATACCATTGAACGGAGGTGTGAAAGATTGACTCGTTTAAAATTTGGCAGGCCTAATTGAAATCTTCGATATACATGTCATTGGCACCGCATTTAAACGAAATTTATTAAAATCTAATATTTGAACCGAATGTGGATAACTTTTTTTTTTTTGAAGGGGAGAGTGAAATACCTATTTCTAAAAACCGAGTGTAACAAATAATATGGTGTGTATTATATGCGTATTAAGACAAATAAAGGTACCTGGTCGCCGCAAGCACTGCTCTCAATGTAGTCGACATCGGTGGGATTGATTTTGGCGATGTCCAAGGCTTCACGGAATAGTTCGATCTGTTGCGTGTTGGATGGATAAATAGCTCCTTCTAGACGGAAACCCTCGGTGTTGGTACGCGCACTCACGGCAGTAGCGTACACCCGTTTAGCATTTTTGGCGTGCTGCAAATACGCGATGACAACGGCATCGGAACGCGCAGTTCCTTGGCCTAAAACAAATAAAATTGTCGTATTACTATATTATTGTTTTTAAAATAATTAAAGAACTTTTAAACATTTTATTAAAAATTTGAAACTCTAAATTTCTAATACTACGCGTAGTTGTAAGTATAATAATATGCTGTAAAATGTGGAGTAATGAAAATTCAAAAAACATTTTTATAAAAACTTGAATTGTAATAATAGACCAATATTTTTTTTTCATGTCTAATAATATTAATATTTTTATGTTGAGCCAATTTTAATATACTAGCTATGTTAATTGAAAAATTCGATTTTCTAGTGATCACGAAAGAAAATTGTGTAGAATCAGCGTCTCCTATAAACCCAGTCCCGAGCCTTTATTTTTCATACGCGTCAAATTTGTTCGTCATATAATTTTTAAGCAAATACGAGAACACAGTAACAATTAAAATAGTACCTGAGACATCAAAAGGCCTGCTCTTGCCATCTGGTGACACGCCGTTCATCTTCTGCAACATGACTGACAACACAGGGTTGAGCAATAACGAACACCCGGCGACTACTACACCGTCTACTACTCCGGTCTTAAGCATTCTATACGCATGTTCGAAAGCCACCAAACTACCTGAAGATCCAGAATCAAGGGCATAACTGGGTCCTATAAAGGCATACAACAAATCAATCTAATATACTCGTAAGGTAGGGCCCTTAAAATATTCTTGTTTAAAGCTATTTTTGAACGGTACGTCCAGGAATAACACCGTGAAAAATTTAACATGACGTGTTTTATAATAGGTGTTGCATAATTTTTTTTTTAATAATTGATTAAAACATGTGATCAGTAAATGATTGTACGATAAACGAATACACAATGTATGTTATTTAAAAATATATTATTTTAATTAAAATTAATATTTTTAATTTAAATAACTGTTTACATATGAATTCGCATTAAAACGATCAGTTTTTCTGTTTACCTTCATAAATATATATAAATATAAATAATATTATACAAAGAAAGGCATTTGTATACGAGAATTCATTTTTATATTCTCAACAAAAAACATACACAAAGTTACAAAATTAAATAAGTATCATATTATAATAGTTTGATAATATTTTACTACCTTTCAAATCGAACGAATATGAAATACGATTTGGAAACATAGTTCTGGTAACACCCAAAAATTCGTAACCATTTACTCTAGTGGGATCTGCAGACCACCAATCGGCATAATCGTTGTTCGTCGTAGCCACAACCACTGCGGTGTTCGATCCCCTCAAAGATGTCGGATTCACACCTGCCGAATTATTTATTAATATTATAAGTATTGTATTTTATAAAAACGGATTAAATGGATTAATACAGTTTTATAATAATACAATATATTTGCTTACCAGCATCGACAAATGCTTCGTATGTACTCTCCAACATGCAGCGTATCTGTGGGTCCAACCTTTCGGCCAATTTTGGATGTACATTGAAAAATGTCGAATCGAATTTCGTCAAATTATTCAAGACTCCAATTTTAGTTACTGCACCGCAAATACCTAAAATAAACACGATGTTGGTAATATAATTTTTTTTAAATATGTATTTAAAATTGTTATTAATAATTTCATTAGCTTATTATAATTATATAGAAATAAAATCTATCAGACAAATTAATCTACATAATTCAAAAACAACAATCTGTATACTATTATCAAATCGAATTTATATAATATTAAACATACTATTTACCAATAAAAAAAAAAGTAATATATCCCTATCTAAATCAATTCTATACCACTTCAGTATAATATATAGATTAATCAATAAATCGTACAATAAAATAAATAATTTTAAAAATATAAATAATTTATAATTTATAAATATTTCTAATATTGTAATAAGTTCGAAAAACTACTGAAGAGTATTTTATTCAAATGTTTTGTTTTTGTCTTACAAACTTACCACATAGTAAATAACAAATTTTACATGTAGATTAATATATTATTATTCTACTTAATTCATTATTTTTTTTTTTTTTTTAATTATAATTAATTAGTATTTTATACAATTTAAAAGTGAAATTATTATAAAAGGTATACTAAAGACATATTTATATGTTTGCCAGACTTTAACATGGTTTGTTTTTCTTCATACTAGCAACATTTTTTTATTTAATTTTTACAGAGATTTTTTCAAAAATATTATTATTGCTAACTCACAAAACAAATGCGATTGAATGAAATAGAATATAAAACACGCAAATGTTTCATTAATATTTTGCAAATAATTTTCTTCATACGTTTTGAAATCTATATATTATTTATTATATTTTCTAAGTCTTAAAATTAAAAATAGAATTATAATCTATCATTTTGTCTGATACTCTGATTTATTATCTATATTTAATACTTGTGTTGAAACTATAAACGAGAAAGTTCTTTGTGTCTTAGGATTCATCAAACATATCTGCCGTAAATTTAATGGCCCGTTGTGCTAACAATTATTTTATTAGACACTTGTGAGATAAGATAATTTTTTTAATAAAATTGGTACGGTACCTATTATCCTATTATGAAATACTAATCAAATATGTCTATAATTAATTAACTGTAAAAAGATTCGAAAAGGTTTTCAACGCTTTTAAATTTATAAAATCAACATTTACCAATATTTACCATAACATGATTAAGCTGTCAATTTTTTTGGTTTTAAGTCAATAAAAATCAGGCGGTTAGAATTTAAAATTATTTTGTAATCAAGAATGAAGCTTTCAGCGGATCATAATCGTATGATATCCTCTTATTTCCTTACAATAAATAACTAAAACCATTTATATAATAGTCTGGTGTACTCTCTACTTGGTGTGTAAATAAAATTATAAATTTCAATTTTTGGTTAAAAGTTTGCATAGTAAGAGTACCTATATAATTTAAATGATATATTTTTCTTCATATTAAAATGTAATATTTTGCTGTTCATACTTAATTATTTATATAAATACTGTTATAATAATAATAATAATTATTATTATTAATTATAATGCAAGTATTATAAGCAGAATAATTACTTGCACTATCGAATTCACGATGCATATAATAACTTACCCTCCGGCCACCTGTTCTGTTCTTTTTCAAGTATGTCAGTGCCGTCGAACAGTTTTTTTTTGAACTCTTCAAACGTATCGCAATTCGGGAAGCGACCAGAAATACCCGAAATGACGATATCATCGTCTTGGTAGTACTTTGGGCTGTTAGCGGTGGCGTCTGCGTTCGGAGCCATTATTCGCGTTCGTGCAGTAAAAACAACGGAAACAATCGAATATTGACAACTCGAGAATAAACCACGTACGGTTTACAGTTGGATTTCCTATATCGGCTGGTACGTCGGTGTATATATTATCACACAGTGACAAGCTACTAGAAATCGAAATAACGTAGAGCGATGCATTTAAATACCACCTGGGAAACGGATGAAGAACATATTTTGTTATTCAATACGTTCCATTTTTTTCGTAGATATCGTGGGTTTTTTTTTTTTATATTTTTTTTTTAGTTACCTAATTGACAGCCACTGATAAACCGTGTTAACGGTCATGTATAGTTTCATCATCTATAAAGGTATGATATGCTATCTTATAGTGTGTTACTAAAGTTATATGACCACAGATTAAAAGCGATGACATTATAATAATATACTGTAATAATAATATTTTATTCTTAAAATGTCATACGGGATTAATGGTCAAGTATACATCTCACGGTTAAACTACGTAATTTTTTAATGTTTTATACCCAAAACATTTTTCAATGTCAGTTAATACCATATATTAACTAAAATTAAAAACCATCATTATAATATATACTTTTTTTATTCCGATATTAAAATGCGTGAATATAAAGTTGATAAAATTCATATAAAAATATATTAAATCATTAAATTAATTTACAAAATAAAATGGGTTGTATTCATCGAGTTTTCTTATAAAAAAATAATACTCTCTGAAGATGGATAAAAAATAAATGTTGTTAAATGACAAAATTATAATTGACTATGACTTCGTATTGTATTTTTTTATACGAGAGATACGTTTGAATGTAAATACAAAATAATTTTACAGGAGTATGTGAAGTTGAAATTTTAACGAAAATGCATTCGTAAAAAAGTAATTTTCTTAAACAAATGAAAGGAGATCCTTGAATAGTTTTACAAATTTTTATAATGCCATTTTCTATACGAGGTGTAATTTTTAAAATATTTTGACTTTTTTGAGCTGTTTTTAGACATTTGACAATTTCAATTATTTTTTTCTTCTATAAATACAGATAAAAAAAAATGTTTGATTAACAAGTAAAAAAGCTTGAAAATTTATTTATTTTACTTTTTATTTTTTTTAAATTATTATAGCTATTTAAAAATAATAAAGATGCAAAGGCACGGTTAATTTTTATAAGCTTTTGAAATTCAATTTTAGATAAAATTCGTCAAAAACACGATTATATGCAAATTATCTTAAAATTAAAAATATGTTATATTTATAATTTTTATAATTAAATCTTAAAAATATATTAAATAATTCTCGATAATAAAATTACACTGAAACTAAAATATCTAAAGAATATATAAATACGATTTTTTTTATAGCCTTTCAAAATTCAAATTTGAACATAATTAGATACATACAAGTAAATAAAAATTTTAATTATTTTGTTGTAATTCAAAAATATTTTTGGCTGAGACTTTATATTTATATACATTATTATTTTCTATACACACTATAACTTCTAAAAATACTTAGATTAATTTCATACTATTACTTTTTACCACGAAACTACACACTTAAAAATAAATAATATAAAATTCGATTTCTGCATAACTTATAATAAAATAAATTATTACTGTAATAACAATATAAATAATACATCATAATATAATATACATAGTAATATAGGGTAGTTTCTGATGGAAAAACTGGATCCAGTTGATACTTTGGAGGATGAAAATTCTACATACTTTTCAAAATAACCGAAAAAATAAAAATAATAATTTTTACGCAGAACTTGACAATCATTTATTACGTAATTCAAAAACAAATAATCGTAAAAAATACTTGGAAATTTTACCAAATATTTACATTATTATTTTTTACATAAAATATTATTTTTAAATAATTCTATAAAAGCTATTTATTATTTTTTTTTTTTTATAAATAACATATTGATTTAATCAATAAATATTATATAAATAGATTTAATTAAGTTTGGAAATTTAATACGAAATTTTTCATAGATTGTTATTACAGTTATTTATAACTATTGTTAAAGATATAAAACAACGGTTTTTTTTCATAAGAATTTGAAGTTTAAATTTAGACAAAATTCAAAATTCGTCATTCGTTAATCAAGAAATTTTACAAAATATTTTGTAATGAACAATTTATAAAACGTTTAACTTTTATAGCCAAAACTTAAAATTTTAATACCATGATGCTCATAAATAAACCAAAAAATGTTTTCTTTTTTTTATCATAATTTATGTTATTAGCTAGCAAGAAAATATGATGATGGATTTATAGTTTTTTTGATTTCAGAACAATATGAAAAGAATACCATCTAATTATGGAACTCAGCGTAGGAAAAATATATATTAAAAAATAATTATTCTATACTTTTTAGTTTTAGGAAGAAATAAAATATTTTAACAAAGAATGAATATTTGAGTTACTCTTTTGTAAATTAAAAATAATATTCTTGGGTACTTGAAACTTTAAATTCGAATTCTTATATTTTATTTATACAATTATATTTTTAAATACAATATAAATATAAATATATCGTAAAATATACTTAGTTATTTAGGCTGCCAGTTAATTTCCTCTCAGAACCGTATTTTGTATGCAATTATTTATCATTGAACTAAATATTACACAATGATAAGGTACACGTGATACTAACAATATTATAGCAGAGTGGTTACTTATACTTTTTCTCTATTTTTATTAAGTAATGAATTTATTGAGATTTTAACTTTAAAAATTTTTAAGTATACCTAAAAATCGTATTTTAAAATTTTTAATATTATTTTACTTAAAAAAAAAAAAAAAAATGTTTTTTTGGAGGTAACTTTCTATGTGGTTTGAAATGAAAAAATTATAACCTCCCAAAATGATGGTTCTTTAATTCGCTTATCTACAAACTTAAAATACTCCTAACTATGTAATTACTCGTCTTAAGTAAGTTTGATTTCTATGTATTAAAACTCTAGAAAAAATTCTAAAAAGAAATAACAAAAACAATAAATAATAAGAAAAAAAATTATTTTCAAAAACTATATTATGTTTTCATAACGTTAAATTCAAGTAAAAATAAAAAAAAAAGTAGATAAGTGGATTTGAGCTTAATAACCGCTATTCTGTACATTAAACCATAAGCGTGCGCATGGGGTGAGCCGATTGAGCCCCGGCTCAACCGGAATCTTTTTAGAGGCATAATTAGATTTCAACCAGATACTAATACTAATAATGAATCAATATATTTATGGCTAGATTATATGAAGGCAAATAGTTACATGAAATCATTTAATAGATTTTTTTACTGTACTGAAATTATTCAATGTAATACCAGTTACAAGTTGTTCCTGCGAACGGGTATTTTCTAAATTAACAATAGTAAAAAATAACTTAAGGAGTACTATGCATCGAGACCGACTTAATAGTTGACTGTTGATGTTTACTGAACCAAAACTCAAAACTAACATCTATTATTAATATTGAAATGGCCATTGATGAATTCAAAAGTTTGAGAAATAGGAGTATTCATTTATAATTCTTTAACCTTACGTTAGGTGAGTCGAAATTTGTTATGTAGTTGAACGCGTAGAGGACAATTATCAACCATCAATACCTAAATTATTGACTAAAGTTATAAATATTTATCATTTAATGCTTCTTTTTGTCATTAAACGTCAAAATGTACATTATTTATTTATAATTATTATATAGTTTATGATTAGAATGATATAAATAGATCATTAAAATTTTTTTTATAGTACACAAATTTACATATATCTTTTAAATGGTCAAAATGAAAGGTACTATAGATATAACAAAAACGTAAATTGCATTCGATAAAAAAATCTAATTTTAAAATATACTGAGTAGCATCTGTCAACCGCGCGCTTAACGTAGAGTCTTAAAATTATCTCATAATTTACTTACCTATAAATTAAAAAAGCTATTTTGTAAAGTAAGATTATTATTGATATAAAATACATAATAGTTTAGTAATGATTTAAATGATATCAAAATAATTAACATATGGTTATTTATCGTTCAAATTGGAACTTAAAATATTTATAAAAATAATTGTCTTTGCACATTTTTTAGAATTTATGCTTTTAGTGTGAAGAACTTATAAAAAAATTTGTATACAATTTTTAAAGCATAGGAACAAAAAGAAAAGATTTTATGTATTTTTAAAAATAGTTCAAAACTTTAAACATTATAAATTATCATATTATGTGATAACTGACGTATGTCTACATAATTCACACACATTTCAAAAACATTCATAAATTTTAACAAATGTACACGCATGAAATTCTTTAATTATCTTCATGACATGTAATATAATTTTAAATATATGTAAATTTTAATACTTATAATCATTACTAATAAAAGTAATAGTCAGGCCCAGACTGAGAGGATATCAGCCTACTATTCTTAGTAAGCTGCTGGCGGTCCATAGGCTCATAGAGAACAATATTCAAAATTTAAACGATACAGTAAAACTGATTTCACTAACTAAATTTATTCATAACTTGTTTTATTTTAAATCAGCATCTTATATGTTTTTCAGTATTTATAATATTCATATATGCAATAAAACATTTTTATTGAAATACATCAATTATTATCAATTTATATTAATTTATATATAATATGTAGACATTTTAATTGTAGGTGAATCATAGCGTTTTTTGTAATAATTTACAGTTAAAACTAACAGTATTTATATGATTTGTTAATAAAATAATTAGATGCACACAAATATTTTCAAAATTATCTAAACATCAGAATGCGGATAAAATAATTATAAATAAAAAATATATATATAAATGAAATAAAACATTATATTATTATATTATAACGTATATTTATTAAAATATTTATAGCACGGAATCAATATCAGGAACTCAAAAATTATTTATTTATTTTTGTCCACGTTTTCACAATTATACCAAAAAATATTATCAATAATACCTCGTATTCACAATGTTGAATCCAGACACTTTTTCTGAGAGAGGGCTCACTCTTTTTTCATTAGTGAATGATGATACATTTAAGTACAGTGGATTCCGCTTAATGTGGGCACGTTGGGACCAGCCCTGTTTGCCCACATTAAGCGGTTGTCCATAAAAACCGAAATTAGTAAAA